TTCTTGTTACTAGATACGGTGAAATAGTTTGCCATGTGTTGCAGTATGTAATCTGCAAGTTTTGATTGAATCACTGTTACCTAACTCCAGACCTCTTTGAGATGGATTTAAGTCATTTATTACTTCTTGATATTTGTAACAAAGAGAAATAAATGCTTTCTGAGGTATAACATTATTGCAAATAAATCCTCTTAATGAATCCTCCGTTATACAGAAGGAAGTAGGAGTTACCGTTTGATATTAATGCTGAAACATTAAAAATTACTCTTAAAGGCATGGAAATTGATTATTTCTGAATAACATCATGATGAAGCAGAAAGTAAACTATATCTGGTTCTTGGCTTTCTTTAAATTCCTCCATGTGCTCCATATTCATATATTCACATCCATTAAGATCTTGTATGTAGTCGAATATAAAACTCTCTTAATCATGTCAAAAGAAAATTTAATCTTTTCATAGCTATCTACTTTGGTTGATCTAAACTAGCTGGATTATCTTTCAGAAGCATTTGTACAATGTACTGCTTTTATTTCTCTTGTATGGGATTTTTGAAAATACTGTGTACAAAGATTTCCATCTACATATTTTTCTTTTATCATATACTTATATTTTCGATTTCCAAAGTTTTTGCTTAATTTTCATTAAAATCAGTATGATTATTATCAGTCCCATAATATGTATTATTCTTAACTACTGTTAGCATACTATCAGTAACTACAAACCCTAATTTTGCATTATATGAAAAAATTTTGCTTGATTTTAAAATCTCATAGAAATTATCAGCTTCTAATAGTAAACTAGTAAGGCCTGGGATATTAAAATTTGTAAGGTTATTTAATTCTGGAAAGCAAATATGAAGCTTTCTAGATAAGGTCAGAACCATTATTCTGGGGAACAACCCAAAATTCTGTGTATAAATTTATTTGACATATTGGTATTTGTAGTGGTAACTTTAGACATAATTGTTAACAACACCCCATTCATTTAATTCATTATTTCCCTTACTGTTGCTTTAACAGAGCAGTACTGCCTTTGAATTTGTAAGTGAAGCACTCTTGGCCACAAAATATTCATGATTTATTTGTTTATTTACTTTGAGGATGTAATCTTTAGCTGCAAGGGAAAGAATATTGGCGTCAGAAGAATTTACGTTCACAGTCTGCACATTTTTGTGTTGTTTTTATTCATTCAGGAAATGCAAGGCCACATGTTACTTATGCTTACATCAGTTTTTTGATTTGCAAGTTTATACTCTCTGTTTTCCTAGGCAATTAAAACAGCAATCATTAGTTTTTTTGTGCATTCAGTATGCTCACAGATAACCCTTTGTAATTAGGATATTTATTTAAAGGGCGATTGTCAAACATGAAAAAATGTATTTTGAACACTTGACGTCTGACAGGAGAATATTTAATGTATTTTTTCCATAAGATATTTCATTATAGTTACGTAGATTTTTTGTCAGTTGTTTGCCACAAGATGAGTAATATAAGTCAACTTTCTTACCCAACTAGATGACAACAGGTTTGAACCATTTGTCACCATGTTGTTAAAGTGGCATTCTTTTTCAGAGTGTGACGCAGTTTATTTGATAAAATTAGTTCATTTACATTCTTGAAGTGCGACACTCTCCTCAGTTTAAAATGCTGTTAAAGCACAACTATCCATTATTCCACTAATCGTAAAGGCTGAAGTAACCAGAATATATTATAATTTTAGAAAAATATTGCCTTTGCCCCAAAAGTTAATTAATGAGAGATTTGTAATGCCATTACAGAACTTGTAAATACTGTTAGCATGTATACCAGTAGTCTCAAACTACATGCGATCTGCATGCATGTCCTGAAAGCTGCTGGGGGGCCAGATTTTTTTAACAAAATTTCAAACTAAGTTTTAACTTAATTTCAAATTTCATTTACTAAATATTTATAAAAACATACATAAGCAAATAATAATGCAAAAAGATAATTACGAATTTGTCATGCTAATTTTCTATTTGTAACAAATTTCTGTTGGTTATATTTTATAATTCAAATGTACTAGCAACTGCATCTTAAATTTGGAGACTGATATTTATTTCAAATAATTTTAATATTTGGAATTAACCTCTAAATAACTTACTTTTAACATAAAATAAACAAATTATGAAAACTTAACCAAATTTTCACAGGAAACTTCCGCAGTGGGAAAAAGCTTAAGATTAAATATCAGCAACTTATTCTCTCCCTTTTATATACTAAATTTTTTATTGACACATACAGAAACAATACTTATAATTATGCGTAAATAATTATATACAGTACAAAGCCCAAAATCCGGACGTCCATTATCCGGAATGACCTAAAATCCGGACCTCAAAACCACCACCACCGTTTTCTTGTAGGCTTTATGCATGCGTATTTGATTTCCCCCTCCACGCATAATAAAACATCTGGAGAGTCCCAATTCTGAATTTCACTTCGACACTAAATAAAATACCTTGTTATTGAAGAAACAATCATTTTAGCATAAATTTGTATGATCAGTAATTTGGCTGTGTATCTGCTTGGCATATATCTCAAACCCAAACATTCCACATAGATACATTGTTGATCTGATGCCAACCTGGCGAATCATTATTTATTATATTTTCCTTTCATCACCGTAGGTTTATCAAAACATGACAAATTGAGTAATGTCTCATGTAGTGATGCCTAAACAATTTTTTTATGTTAGTAATTGAATAATAAAGGAGTATGGTAACCTTTTATGTTGACATTACGCCTGGCGATGATTACAGATTTAAGTTAAAAGCGCTAAAAATTGTTGACGAGGAAAAGTTTACCAAAAATTTCTTTCCATATGGTAAAAATAGATTTTGTTGATGATACTCATAGACCCAAAGTTTACACTTAGGGCTATTTGAATGAAGAATAACTGATTTGTTATTCAAACCCAGAACCAGTGCTAAAGCTTGTGTAGAACCCACAGAGACTGTCAGTAAGATATCTAGCACCGACTCTCAGTAGGGCTTAAGTATATGGTGGGAATTTATTTATTCAGAACTCTGATAAGCCTTAAGCATGTGCAAGAAATAAGCATAAATATAATAAATAACTAGACTAATACAATTAAATTATTATGTTTGTCTACAGAATTAAAGAGAAAGTATTAGCACAAAAAACGAAGCAACTTGCATTGAAAGAAATGTTTAGTAAGGTAAATAAATATTAAGCCTTTTTTTGTAAATTTTGATACTCTTTAGATCATAAATACGTTATTAGTTCATAAATCACAATTTCATATTTTTAATTTTATAATTTCTACCTGCCATCTTAACTAGATTTAACTGATGATCTAATATCCAGAAAAATCCCAAATCCGGAATCGGCGAAGTCCGGACTAGTCCTGATTTTGGACTTTGTACTGTATTTCTACAGCTTGTTATGAAAAATACAAGTTCTATTTTTCCTCACATTTTGAAGAAATGATTAATTTAGATGCAAGAGCCAAGACAGCAGCCATCGAGCTCCACATTTGCATATGTGGTATGACTGTTGTTGGGCTTGTTCTCAATAGACGAGCTCAAAAAGAATTCCTGAGACATTGGTTAGCATTTATGAGAAGTAGAGAGGAGTCTGCAGGTTTTTTACAAAATTACATCTCTTAAGAAGTGACTCACTTTATTCAGTTTTTGATAGGATGTGAACCTTTCATTACTTACTTGCACTGCTTTGGATGACCTGAAAAGTACTAAACAAAGTGTCTAGTGGTCTGGATTACATGTTCAGTTTCAGAGATGTTGCAATATATCATCTTTTACACCCAGCAGTGGAACTTACCTGTTTATGGCCTGAAGGTACTTTAAAAAATTACATTGTGAAATGCACACATGACTGCATCAATATTGCATGCAATGTATCAAATAGTGTAAAGTCAGTGAAATAATTGCTAATTCAGTTTTTATATGCCTTCTACACAACTTTTGTTCTCATTTCCAAGTATTTTTGACAGTTGTATACTATTATTTACGTTAGTGTATCTTAATTAATTTTATTATGTTTAATTTAATTTAAAATTATTACATTCATTGTCTTACTTAACGTGTTGTTTACTCTTTGTGTAATGTATGTCATTTCAGGTAACTGAGTTAATTGTTTATCACTCTTAATATATTATTTATGATTTAACTTTGTATTACCTAACTGTTTGTGCCATGCATATCCATGCAATTTAATTATACTTTGCATATGTATTGTATCTATATTGTATGTGACTAAGCACATCATAGGCATTAAGGATATGGAATGTTCTTAACAGTGTTACAGTATTAGCAATCCATCTTTAGCTCCTATGTTAATTCTTGAGACTGTAAATCGAAATTAGGTTTCCCTTTTTATAATTCATCTTATTCTACATAGGTGCTTCACTTTCTTTGCTTCGTGGAAATTTTTACCATAGCAAGGGACTACTGGTTACTCCTACAGAGAAAGTTCTGTCTTGTATAAATTTAAACACATGTAACCTGACCCCTGACATTTAGAATGATAATGCATTCCCTTGGGGTAACCTAGTAAAATGTGGAAATTGTATCTGTCTTCATCATCATATTACCTTTCATTCATCCAGCACTTGGCATGCCCGCTGTTAGTCGACATTTTGGGGGGGGGGGGAGAATTCAAACACATCACTCTATTGCTCTTCTTCAAAGATAGCCCACACAGCCTACAATTCATGAAATTTTAAACATAGTTCTGTCAGCTGGGCTACATGACCAATATACTAACTATCCTAATGGACTAGCTGTCCAGCTGTAAGTAGTAAAGTACCTATAAAAGTACTTCTCAGGTGTACTAATTTTAATAAAGCAGTTTCCCTCCTGCTCTTTAAGAGTAGGAGAAAGAAAAGAAATGCACTCCTGAATATTTTCAAAGGGAAAATAGCTTCAATTATGTTTAAAGTGTTTCTTCTGTGATAATTTTGTTGACTAATTTATTATTATTTTTTAAATCATTCATAGGCTGTTGAAGAGGTAATTGAGCGAAATACGTATCAACACAATAAAGTAAAGCAATGGGCTGATAAAATTGTGGAACAAATTTTAACTAATCTCAAAGAATTAAACAAGCCTTTTAAATATATTGGTGAGTTAAGGTAGCATATCTAACATATCTTTTATTATTTATACAATTTTCTTAAGTATTGTAAATATATATTGTACATTTTCAGCTACTTGTGTCATTATGCAAAAGAATGGAGCTGGTTTTCATACAGCAAGCTCATGTTACTGGGATAATACTACAGATGGTTTGTATTCATTTACTAAAATATATTTTAGCTACATTTTTCTATTCCTGTATTAGATTACATTTTTAAAAATGGAATTAACTTATTATTTTAAGAAAATAATAATACCCTCCTTTCTCCTTTTAATTACCAACTACCAGAATAGAGATTACTTTTCCATTCATGTATTACACCTCTTTATTTTCCTTTGTTGTTTTAAATTAATAAATATCAATTTCTTTTTTTTTTTTTAACAAAAGAGTGAAATTTAAGCCACTTTTTAGAATTGGAAGTTTAAAGTATGTTTAATATTGCATTGTAATAAAATATTGTATACTAATACAGTTTGCTTTTAATTTAAACACTATGTGAAATACAAAATTGTTACTTTATTTCTTGAAAAATGGAAACCGATAATAATACATATTCCAGTAAGTTGGGAAGAAGAGGCTAATAATACTAAGATCTTGAGTTTTTAATGTTTCCAAATCTCTCTCAGTACATTTATTGCAACAGCTAAGATCTGTATGCTGACAGTCTCAGCTCTGGGGGAGGGGGGTATAAAAACATGAGCATGTGGTTCCCATAACCTGTGGGAGTAGGGTCAGGCGTAAAAATGTTAATCTGGGGGCCACAGGGAAGCCAGTGTTGAAAGCCCCTTCCGGCAGGTGGCAATTTTGATGACCAGTCTACGCTGAAGATTCATTGGCTTCATACCTTTTGTGGTGTGAGTGGTGGAGTCTTTAATCCACCACTCATAGGTTTGGAGGGGATGAGGCACAAGTGGATCATTGCTTATGGTCTGTGATGCTTACCGAGTCTGTGTTTCTGCGTAACAGGAGAGCACCGACGGGGTCAGGTGTGTAATGGAGTCCATAAGGCACTTGCAATATACATGCTGAATTATTTTTAGTCTCCTGAAAGAACAATATTGTATTCCTCTTGGTTACTAGCATAACATCTTTTTTAAGGTATAATACTTCTTAAGTTAGGGAAAAGTATTGAGAGTTCTTTAGCACATAGTAAAAATTAATGAAGGAAATTTAAAAAAACTGCATTTTGAAAGAATTGTCGTTAGTAATTTAGATCATTATCTTGACATTCTAACACCAGTAGATGCATCGTGTTTCTTCTGATGATTACAATCATTCCATTTCTTAATAAAAAACTTGAGAGTTTTCATTAGAAAATCTCATTTAGAACTAGATTTTTTGTTTAGAAATTTCCCTTGTCAATCATTAGGATGCATTCACCAGGTGTTTTCAGGTCTGCTTTATTATTGCTATGTAAACATCTGAGTAAAGATTTAGAAAAACAAATCTGCATCAAACATTCAAATAATGTTGGTTACAGTTCTATTGAATTTTTTATATATGTCTGATTTATCAAAATTAAGACCAAAAAGTACTTTTGCTCCTCTTAACATACTTTACTCAAGTGTAAATGATGTTTGTGTAAAACCTCTGTTTTCCATGTGATTTACTTTTTGGATAACTGTCATATACTTCTCAATCTTTGTAATAGTTGCAAATGCATTTGCAAGTTGCTACATATTGTTCCACCAAAGAAAATATTAATGGTACTCTTCTGTTATTGGGACCTTATTCAAAAACATATTTATGTATATATGTGTATACATGTGCCCTCACGTATATACATACATACATATATATATGCATGCATGCATGCATGAACACATACATCCAAACATACATGCATACACACATTTCTGAATCCAACAGAAGACTTTGGTAACAGAAGAGTACCGAAGGCTTTGAAGATCTGATTAGTCACTTTATCTTTTCTTAGGCCTTTTTTTTTTTTTTTTTTTTTTAGTAGTCTAGTGGTTAATATTAGCTTGGGAGCATTTTATGAGGAATAGTAAAACCTATCACTTTTTTTTATGTACAGCATGGGAGACACAATGCATCTGCGAGAAAGGGACATGCAAATAATCAAGCCTTTTATAGTAGTATAGTAGTCTAACCTGCATCCTGGAGTTCGGACTGTACTCATTAGTTTTTTTTTTAATGTGGAGACATGAACAATGAGTAAGTCCCTCGCTGGTACTTGAACCTGGACCTCTCGAATACGCACTGAGTGTGATACCGTTACATCACGAAGGCAAGAAGAGAGGAGGGAGAAAATATCTTATATACTCCCCATTTTAAAGGACGACTGGGGATTAGGGGACCCAGTCACCAAATTCTTTGGTGAAGATTCATCATCCACCACCATTTTTATTTTTAATTTGGACACCAATGTAGAGTCATTAGTTTTTTAAATAAAAAACACAAAAAATTTGCAGTGCCCTCGCTGGTACTTAAAGCTGGACCTCTCGAATGCATTCCGAGTGTGCTAACCATTACACCACGAAGGTGTGCAGAAAGGAGGGAGAAAATACGTAGGTGTTGGTTGCTCTAGACAGCAGGACGGTGGCCATGGAAGTCGGAAACCGCTAAGGAGTGTGTAACCTTATATACGTCCGCTCACCAGCGGCTGAGCAGTAAAGTCGCTGAACACTGGTAGTTCGGTCCGAGGTTCGAATCCCGCGAACGGGCTGGCTGCATGGGCGTTTTCGTGGTTTTCCCCATGTGTAATGTGTATACGAGCCAGTTTCCCTTAGAAAGTCCTCCACGAAGGCATCCCTCCCCTTAGGCAGATAGCCCTAGTGTGCTTTGCCATAATCTCAATAAACCAAACCAAACCTTATATACGTCCCCTTTTAAAGGGTGACTGGAGATTAGGGCACCCAGTCACTAAATTCTGGTCGTGAAGAATCATCATCCACCACCTTTCAGTTCAGGTGCCACCATAGAGTCGCTGGTATTTTTTTTTCGATGTAGGAGACGTGAAAAATGAGCACACTCACCGAGTCTCAAACCTGATCTTCTCAAATACGTGCTGAACGTGTTTTAAAAATTGATTATGAGCATTTGACATATGATAATAATGAATTATAGAAATATCAATGAATTTCAAACTTTGTGATTAAAATATCTGCCTGCAAAATATGTGTATACTTAATTTATAATTGTGTAACTTATTGCTAGGTACTAAGATTTTTTTTAGCAAGATGATATTATATTACTATTATTGTACAGTGTAACAATGTAATAAGACTGAGGATTTCTTCATGAAATAGTAGTTTTTTAATCTATTAATATTAAAAAAATAATTTTTTTATTTGCAAACTAAAAAAAAATTACATACAAGAATGAATTGTTTATAGTTTACTGGTTATCAATTTTATATTGTAAAATAAATGCTGTTTGCTACTACAGTTTTCTGTTATATTGTTAGATGTATACATACATATATGAAATTTTAATATGTCAAAATAATAAAATTTGGGTTATGTATTTATCTTGTTTGACAAAAGAGCTGATTAGCCCGTACTTTGTAATATGATTTGACAATCGCATGCGTAATTGATATGTGAATTTACATGTTGATGTCTTTCTGTGTATTTGTATAGCCAGAGTAAAATTTAGTAGATTTTTGCGATTAATTATTGGTTAGGGAATATTTTTGCTTTAAAAATAATGTGTCTGATAATTTCATAAAGTTTATTCAAAAACATACGTGGCCATGCAGATAGGAAAATGGAAAATTTAATCATTCCCTTGTTGGAAATCAAACCACAGATCTTCCAGTTGCCATTTGAATATGCTAACCATTTACAAAACAAGAGCATGCACGGCGGAATTTGATATACGTTTTCCCTACTTAAAGCGTGTCTGCAGAAAGCTATTAGCTCTATTTGACCAAATCTGACTCTTATTTTAGTTCATGTGCTACGGTTAAGTTATATTTTTCTAATATCCATAATGTGAGAAATAGTTGGGCTTATGCTGGAATTACAACCACAAAGCTTAAAGTTAACAGCTGGATAGGATATGATAGGATACCATGCATAGAGGGATGCAATAATTCCTAGAAACTATTAATGACTGGTTGTAATGTTAAAAAGTTAAAAGTAAACAAAGTTATTTTAATCAAACAAAATTTTCCACCCAAAAACGTTCTTAATATAAAGTTAGGCTAATACATGTAAAAGCAGAACCCTTTAGTGAGAGTAGTAATCACCACCAAAATCTATGATTTTCTGCCAACATTTTGGTAGTTTTTCAAAGCCTTCGGCCCAGAAACTTGGTGGTTACAAGTACAAAAACAGATTAACCACATTTCAGATGTCCTGTGTAGAATGGAAAATAGCACCCAGATGAGCTGCAGATGTAAAAAAAGATAAAAGTCTGAAGGAGCGATGTCAGTGCAGCAAGAGATGCCATTCAAGTCCATACAGAGTCCAACCAGGGAATCTAGACACATTTGTCTTGTATTATTTTGATGGAACATTACTTTTTTGCACCAGAACTGAGTTTGAGGTTTTTCCTTGACAGCAATGTCAACATGGACTAGCATCTTGCTCTACACCTTACTGCCAAGGGTTTTTACCTTTTCCCAGATACTCTTTGTGGATAATGCCACAGCAATCCCACCAACTGCAAAGCATGATCTTTTTGTTAGTCAAATTGTGTATTGATATGTTGGCAACGGACTCGCCAGACACAGACCAACCCCCTTTCTGGCATGTGTTATTGAAATAAATACACTTTTCACCACAAGTGACAATATGGTCCAGAATTTTGTCCTTGCCTTCATATTCAAACAGAATTATGCAGGCCCAAACACAGGTGTCCTTATCTGCTTGAGTTAGCTGTTGTGGCGCCCAGTGATCGAACTTGTACGTCAAGTTTATGCAATGCACAGTGCAGCTAATGGACATGGCACTAATGTCTCGTTCTTTACCAAGCTCTCGAGTGATCATCTTCCACAAATTTTTGCAGGTGCGCCTCATCAACATCAGTAGGCTGACCAGAGCACTCTAGTTGTTGAATGCCATAGTCCTTATTTTTGAACTTTTGGTATTAAATCTTCAGTGTCATATGCTACAGCATTAATACCTAAAACTGTACACATGATTTGGTGATATTCTGTTGCTGACTTTTTGCAACCGAACTGGAAGTAAATGATGGTTCTAATCTGGTAGCGTGATGATTCCATTTCAGACGCCTTGTACTTAATGATAATGACATTTTTTCTTTTACAAATATCACAACACAGTGTTCTATAGCAAGTTTCTTTCTTTCAAATGCCAAAAATTGTTTGACAAAATAAGAATAAACACACCAATGCAAACTCTTTGCACAGATGATATTTGCAGTGGTGGGAAACTTTCATTAAAATACGATATACAAAGTCTTTAATCCGGACTCGTCGGTACTTCGGCGATTACGGATTAGGGGTTTTTCTGGATTATAAATCATCAATTTAAATCTGGTAAGATGGCATGTAGAAATTATAAAATTAAAAATATGAAACTGTAATTTATGAAATAAAGAGCAATTATGATCTAAAGGGTATAAAAATTTATATAAAAGCTTAATATTTATTTGTTTACTTTATTAAACATTTCTTTCAGTGTAAGTTGTTTAAGTTGCTAAGTTTTTTTGTGCTAATACTTTCTCAATTCTATAAACAGACATAATTTCTTGTTCAGTCGCTGTGTCGAGAATACCGTCTAACTTGTCAATCGAAATTTTTTCGTTTTCAATATACTCTCTGTCACTTTCTTCACTATCGGAAGCGGTACATCGAAACATGCTTTCGCTTTGTAGATCCTTTGGAAGCTCCAGAATCGGAAACTCTTTTTGACATAATCAAAAGTTCAAGCTTACTGTTTATAAAATTGCTCTAACAGTCTGCAAAAAATAATAAGCCGGATCCAATTAGAAGATTAAGGAACAACGTAATCTGCAACATTAACTGAAATAGACAATTTTAGCCTAGCTTATACTGTTATACATTAAATGCGCGTGCGTTTACGCAGGCGCAGAAAGTTTGTAGCTTTGAGGTCCGGATTAAAGACTTTGTACTGTACAAGCTCACATGAACAATATGTCATACAAAAAATTTCCTTGAAGTAACTTACAGTGGATGGACAAAAATATGGAAACACCTTGTGAAATGCATGTTTGAAAAGAAAGATTGATTTTAATGAAATATGTAGGTGGCGCTGGCGTTTTTGACTACTGATGGCACTTATACAACTTCGTAAATGTGCTAAACAGTTCAGTTGTCGGAGTACTGTTATGTGAGGTTGTCATTGCATTATGTCAGAGTTAACAGATTTCGAATGTGGGCAAATTGTTGGAGTACGTATGGTAGGTGCTTCCGTAAGCAAGGTAGCCGAGGTGTTTAGTGTTTCAAGAGGTACTGTATCGAAGATTTATTCCGCATATTTGAAAAGCGGAAAAACATCACTGCTAAATCACAGCGCGGATGAAAGTGTGTCCTGAGTGATCGTGACAGACGATCATTAAGGGCAATTGTGACGAAAAATAAGACCACAGCTGCAAAAGTTACTGCTGAAATGAATGTTGTGTTACCGAACCCTGCGAGTACCAAAACAATTAGAAGGGAGCTTCATAAACAGGGAATTGCTGGCCGTGCTGCAATTGAGAAGCCACTCATCAGTGATGCTAATGCTCGTAACAGGAAAGGTGGTATTTAAGTCATAAAGGCTGGACTATAGAGCAGTGGAAGCGAGTAATATGGTCTGACGAGTCTTCTTTCACATTGTTTCCCACTTCTGGCCGAGTTTACGTCTGGAGAACGCCATCTCAAGCCTATAATACAGACTGCTTGTTGCCAAGAGTGAAACATGGCGGGGGTTCTGTTATGGTTTGGGCAGCCATATCGTGGTTCTCTGCTAGCCCCATGATAACAGTGTCAGGGCACAAGACTTATGTGAACATTTTGGCCGATCAAGTTCATCCCATGGTACAAACTTTGTTCCCCGATGGTGATGGTGTCTTCCAAGACGACAAAGCCCCTGTTCAAACAGCTCACATTGTCCAGGACTGGTTTTCTGAGCACGAGGATGAGTTGTCCCATCTCCCCTGACCACCACAGTCACCAGACCTGAATATTATCGAACCTTTGTGGTCTACGTTGGAACGGAAAGTGCGTTCTCGTTATCCACTGCCAACATCGTTATCTGAACTTGCCACCGTTTTGCAGGAAGAATGGTATAATATTCCCTTGGCAAACATACAGGAACTGTATTTATCCATTCCGAGAAGACTGCAAGCTGTTTTGGATGCCAACGGGTTTCCTACACCATATTAAGCAAAGAAACATGTTTTTTTAAAGGTGTTTTCATATTTTTGTCCAACCCCTGTGTGTATCTCATGTAGTATCAACTTAAATTCATTACGTTTCTTAGATCCTGTACACTTATACATACATCAAACAATGCCAGATTAATATATCGTAATTGCTAATTTTATATACCATTTCATAAGTAATGCATAATTTCAGATACTTTGTGCCTTACTTTTTTTTACATGTGGATCATATCGGTAACCATAGCAAACGAATTTTGTCTGCCAGTCAGTCAGCCTGCTGGCCCAGCAAAGCAGTTTCTCATGTTACATGTAAAGGTGGTCCTTTTAAATTTTTGTAGTTTATTCTAAAATACAGTCTCTAGAATAAAGTTCTAAATATTGTAATACTGCGAACTTTTCCCACAATTTTCGTAAATGCTGCTGGTTGTGAGAAGATTTTTCTAAATAAAAATCATTAGAAAATATTTCAGAACAGTAAATGTTTATTTTGCATTTAAGGAATATTTAAAAACTATAAATGTTTATGCATTTAAGAAACCTTTCTTCTTTTCTGCCTAAATTAAAGAAACTGAAACAATCAAGTAGACTTTTATGATGGCATAGAGAGTTTTGAAATCAGAAAAACAAGTAAAATAATACTATACATTTAAAAAGTTGGATTTAAAATTTCTTAAAAAAATAAACATAAATTTATTTCCCTATATGTCACTCCTTTTTTTATTTGTATTGTTTTTCACTTTTCAAAGATACTGGAGATATAATGCATTTTCATGTTAGTGTAAGAGTATATTCATCTAGTATCCTATAAAATATTTCGCTGTTCCACGTGGGCCATCTCCATTGATAAACCATATTAAACTTTAAACGAGCTTTTGTGCGCAACCATTAAAATTTGAAGCCTTTCAAAAACATTTTTTTCTCTTATTTGATTTTTTAAATGTTTATTATATTTAAGAAATGTAAATAAGGAAACATTTTATTTGATTCTGCTGCATATGTACGATGTCTAAATTTAACTTCTGGAAGTCTTCCATTTGGTTGTGTAATTTTAATTAAAGACTTAACTGTTTCTTACAATGAAATTTTTCATTAGAGTTTTAATCTATTAATTGAAAGTCGGAACATCTTCCGCAGGTAGTGAAATTTCCTTTGTGTTTGGGGAGAGAAGGGGGGAATTCTCCACTGGTTGAGAATCATTGCTATCCTATTAAGGATTATTTGTTAATGAAATCATGTTGTCATCCTCTATACTCCTTATCCCATTTTAGAGGAGTATACACTGTACTAAAAAAAAATATTATATTTATATTATTAAATATTATGGATTAAATTAAAACAGATAATATTAGAAAATATATTCTGTAAGTAACAATTGATCGACTTTATTTAAAAAATAGCATTTTGTACAAAATTTTTATTTAGTGCTTGTATTATTTAGCAAAAAAATTTAAATTGTAATAATTTTTCTTTTAGGTAGCTGTACAGTTAGATGGGAAAATAAGTCGATGTACTGTATTGTGTCTGTTTTTGGTTTAGCAATATAATATGTACAAGATATATTTTTCAACTTTGTGTAATTATTACCTTACTGCAGACTATCTTCATTCCCTGGCAACAATAACTGTATATGATAAATTATTTGATGTATATATCTTTTATTTTTTCAAAAGTATAATTTTATGCTTACATTTCATTTGTATGTAAATAATCCAATAAATAATGTGCAGATATTTTGAATATATTTCCAAACTTCATGTAAAAATGGTAGAAAAATATAATGAATGGGAATTTTAGTTAACACAATTTCAGTGAAATGTCTCATTAAATGATTTTATAGTCTCATGTTAATTGACTATACAATCAACTAAGTATAGAATACTATAATATATTTAACCATTTCTAATCATATATTATGTTTCTCTTTAACTTTTGTTGTTTCTAAATATGCAGTGATCTTGAAGCTCATAATGCCTTCAAGAAAATTCAGCTTCCTGTACCTTGTTTCTTTTAATAGTTCAAATGCATTTAATTTATGAAATCAGAATATTTTTCTTTTAGGATCATCATTCAAAGTATTTCGTGTTAAATATTGAATATTTGTTGTTATTATTTGCTTCAGTATCTTCCTTCAATGATGTTTTATTTTCAATGAATAAAGAGTTGAGTTACCACTGTTCTAATTGCTTTTGAGGTTGGAAAGAGGAGTTGAATACCCTTCCTTCATATTTCCATAAAAAAGGATCTTTGTGCTAGTAAGTTTTTTGGTTATCTGAGACTTAGTTGACCAAAATTACTGAAAAAAAATTGAGAAATTGTTGGGATCAAGCACACAAATTGGATAATCATGACCTCTCTTTAAAACTACTGTTTGAAATGTATTACGAAAAATTTATTTTTAATAGAAATTTATTCAGGGATAATAAAGGGAATAACATAATCAATAAATTTATTTACAATAGAAACATTCAAACATAAAATATTAGCATGGGGTACAGTGAATGGTTTGTTAAAATTTAACCTCACTTCATACTTATAACAGTATTAATTCTTTTAATGTTTTTTAATTCAAAATATTTTTATGGATTTAAAATGTGAAAGAAAAAGAATACTGCACATTTCCTTTTTTAATTTTAGACATTTTTTTCTGAGAAATTCGTAATTATAAGTAAAGTACTAACATATCTTGAAGACCCTTTTTCATGCATTATCAGGCCCATGGGACCCTCAGGCCCTGTAGAACCAGTGGGTATTTTCATTCCAAAGGTAAGTGTTTTGTGTCTAAAACTGGCAATAGAAATATTCACCCCCCTTCACCAACTGTGTAGACTTATTTCCAAAACTGCCTACTTGTATTCTTTACCGAGGGAGAAATCTTGTATTCTCTAGTCAATCATCTGAAATTAACAGATGATCCATCCCCTAAAATAGTGTGGTACAACCCGAGGGCCAATAAAACGTTAGTATGAAAGGGCCAGATACATTAAAGTAATTATTTAATAAGAATTTAGTGTATTAGATAATAATAAAATTTATACATGAATTTAAGAGATAAAAGCACATTAATTATTATAATAACATTGTTTAAAATATGCTTTTGTACTGAAATAAACCTAACGAGAAATTAAGCAAATATATTTCTGAATATTGTACAGAGCTGAAAAGAAAAAGGGTTCATTTATTGAATGCTAAGTTCACTTTATCAGTATATGATCAATGAAAAATTTCTATTAATGTGGTACTCATGTCTGTAAAATGTTACTGATTATATAAAAGATAAAGGTAATTTCCATAGGTAAAATGCTCACAAAAGAAGCCATTTTTGTTTTTCAAATATTTTCTCTTAATAAACAATATCCAATAAAAATATTTACACATTAGATAAACCCTATCAAAGGGAAAAAGCAATGTTGAATATATACATATAATCAAGAATTTGGCCTTAACCAATCTTCTGGAACTAGTCCAGCTTTATATGCTTCCTCAACAGCTGCAAAAAAATCAGAAAAATCAACATATGGCTTGACTCTACCATCTTCATCTAAAGATATATTATTTGCAGATTGAAATAAAAGTTGTGGGCCTGACTCTGAACTGGTAGTTAAAGATGTACCATCATTCATAAATATAGATTGAGTTTCACTTTCATGGGAACTTTTTACATATGAACTCTCTAGTGATCGCACATCAGACAATGTATTATTTTCAGAAATATTCTGCTTCTTCTGTTCATTTACAACTGGTATTTGATTAGAAATACTTGGAGAGCTTGTATGGGCATTTCGAAGTGGATAGTTGAAATTCCGCACCTAAAATATAGAAACAATATTTTTAATTCAGTTGAATTAAAACTACAACATATCAACAATTTATACATGAATCAAAAGAAAGATAATGAATTCCGATCTTTATACCTTCCACCATAATGGAAAAGCAGTTCACTGTACACTAAAATGTTTTTTACTTCCTTGTACGAAGTAAAAAGGAAGTATTGTAATCGCGTAAAGTTTCAGGCAGGATATTTCAACGAAAATATCCATTTTGACCGCTATTGAATGCAATTTAACGATTTTTTGCGTGATATCTGTACGTAAAGACAGAATAAAATACTCTTTTCCTTCAAAAAAATTCTAAAACTGCTTTAAGATTAATTCTGAAGAGAATTTTTTGTGGCGTCTGTACGAACGTATGTACGTACGTGCGTATCTCGCATAACTCAAAAACGAGTAGCCTCAGAATGTTGAAATTCTTTATATAGGACTGCTATAACATGTAGATGTGCACCTCGTATTTTGGTTGCAATTGGCCGCACCAAACGTATATAAATATAATTATATATATATCCACTCTATTACCCGGCTCGGTGATCTTAGTTTCTTTACTCAGTTTATATGTTTGTAAATTGTACATTTTTTTCTTTAAAAATGATTGAATTATATTGTTTTTATCTTCCGGTTAAGGATTTTATGCCTTTAGTAAATCTGTGTGCAATATTTTTAGAATTATCAGCAATTTTAAAGTTGTTTAATTGCCACTAAACCTGTTTTAATGGCGGCCATTGATGTTTACATTTGAAACAGGAGACTAGTGGATATGTTGCCAATCTAGAGAAACTTAGCTTCCAACAACAAAGATAATGCATTCATTTATTATTACCAATTAAATCATGCTTAATTCTTTCTGGAATTTTTTCGAGGAAATAAGTGTTTGAGATTTACTTCGTAATTTTTAATATAGATATTTTGAGTTTTTATGTATTTTTGCCTTCTCACGAAGTAAGAACTGAATTAATTAAATGAGAAATACTCAATTGTCTGTGAAAAACTGTTTCTTTTTTTGTTTTATTTGCTTAATTTCTTTTATACATAGTTCTAGCTTTATCATAGTATTTGAATAGAACATGTGGCAATGATTAGATAATTCTTTAAATGATATACATTTTGTGCATTCTGAGTTATAATATGAATGAAATATAATACTGTTAAGTAAACCAGGTGCCAGAGTGTCGCTATGGTAAACAAAGTGAATTTTATTCATTTATTCTATTGTGGTTTATGCGCTGTCGGCGAAGTAGGTTTAATTCAATCTAATAAGTTTAAATAAAATGCAAGAAAAAATGTGTATAATTTAATATTCCATACAAGGAAGTAATGTGGTGTACACATCAGATTTTTTTATATATATATATATATATAAAATTATTCACACCTCTCAAGAATTCACATAAATAGTAACAGATGATTGAGGACACCCTCGTAACTTTATACAGAAAATTCACTGACAGTGCTGGACAGCAAATTTGTCATAATACATAAAGCATATTTTATAGAAAGTGAAAAAATACATATAAATCAAAATTCAATGCCTTTCAATAAATATAAAGCAACATTCAAGGCCAAAAAATTAGATGTTAGAAGATTTATTATATACAGCTATTTTAGCTCAAATGGATGAAGTAGATTTAACAGTTTCATGTTTCCTAATGCTATGAAGAACACTGAGGAAATTTTAATATTTGATATATAATATATATTTAATAATAGAAAATATTCTGATAGCAATTTAATTTTCAGGAATATAGGACAACAATTATTTAGGCATTCTTGCACATTTTATCAAAATCAAAGTACCAGCATTTCTTTTAGTTGCAAAATTTCTGCTCTTCTAAGAATTCCAGCTTTCTTATCTTTAGACCCAAGAAGAAACAGAGGTTATCATCTGTTACACATAATCACAGTTGTAATCTGTACACAGTTGAAAGTTACAACAAAATAAACATGTGAACAAGATTATAAAAATGAAAGCAAAGTTTTTATATTTTCTGACTTGGTCTCTCCCCTTCATCAAAACTTAATGACAAAGGTAGAAATAAATAAATAATTGACAGAATCGCAAAGACAGAACTTAAGTGATACATTTTATGCATGATGGAAAAAAATAATAACTTACTAATAAAGTAATATCATCACGATTTTGACACCGTTTTGGAGTTCGTGTGTCTTGCATAAATGCATCATGATGAATACGCACAACTTTGTCAACTACTGCTTGAGCTACACCATTTAATGTTGACTGCTCAGCAAATTGCTCGAGTAATATATTGACTAGAACAGCATTTGCCTAATATAATGAATAAGATATTAGTAAAAACATACATTAAGGCAAATAATATTCAATGTATACTAAAATTTCTATAAAAACTGAATTACATTTACAGCTCCAGTTGCTTCCTCTAAGGATCTGTATAAACCATCTGACATGAGCAAAAGAAACTTGCATTTTTCATCTATTTTTATCCCCCCAACTATGTTAGGCTCAGCAATAATAGGTTCCTCTTCTGCTTCACTAGAAAGAAAAAAAAAAAAATCTTTTTCATAAATAAATGAAACATTAATTTATATTCACTTAACCATAAATTTCAAACTTATATTAAAAAATTTATAAGTATGAGGAATTATTTATATTGACAGTGTTTATATTTTTATTGAATGAAACATAAATGCTTGTAATACTGTATCTAGCAGGATGAGGAAGGGGGGGGAAACCCTCTCGCTTCAAACGAATTAAAGAAAATACCATTTTATTAGCATTTTTTCAGATCTTCCTTACAAAAAAACTTCATATATATGCAGAAAAATTATTTTTTTAATGCTATTAAAAATATAAAAGTGCACCAAGTATTTCAGCTAAACAATTCTACGAAAATAGCTAAAGTACACGGTTTCCTTAAATTAAGACAAAAGAAAAATATCTTAATACATGACCATATCTATATTGAGGTACATATGTATCGGTAGATTTCATAATCGCTCATGCATACATTTTAATTTGGAGTGCAGTCACCCTCTCATATAAATGCAAGTTTCAAAAGGATGTTTCATACTGCTGATAAGCAATGTTCAGCAACCCATTTGATGAAGAGTTATTATTTCTATGCAAAGCCTTCAAAGTTGATGAAGAATAATAGCAATATGCGTCCCTCAAGTGTCACACATATGATCAGTAAGTCAGAAGTGAAGATTATTCTTCAATTATAGAAATGCTAATTAGAACTACAATTTAAGTTGAGAAGCTTGGATGACTAATTTATGAATTACTAATCTTCTCTTGAAGATACTCTTCTACACATTTATTATAATTCGCACAAGCTTTTTTTTTTAATTTTTAGAAAAAAATATTGATATTACCTTTCTAGTAATAAACCTAGGAGTTTTCATTATTATACACATGGCTTAACACTCATATTTACTTTAGACAGCACAGGTAGGTTAGTATACCCACCTGATAAGACAACACAAATTTCCATTGTAAATGCCTTTTCACAGGTACTTGATAGATGACAGTATGTCTGTTATTCTTCCTAGATCAGTGTAAATGTGGAATCTCTACAAACCATGTCTAGTCTCTTCTGTGAATAATGCATATTTCCAATGGTCTTCTTTTTAACCACAATACTTTGTATGCTAAACCGTAATGTGTTGGAAGGCAAAAAAATATAGATGGTACAGCTTACTTGGTATCTTCATAAAGCCTCCTGTACCTAACAAATACCACAAGTTTTATAACCACAGCAATCGAAAATGTTATGCAAGTGTAGGGAGAGAATGCTGATTCATGAAAAGTTATTGATTACAAACTCTGTGAAGAACTTCACATTCAACATCTAACTGCTACTTTCCATTTAGTAATACCACTTACCAAATTGCATCCTATTGTCATATTGCAAAAATATGTTTATTTTGAAATGCCTTTCTCAGTTTAGGGATAAAATAGAAAACAACTCAGGAAAACAGTTTTTTTATGAAAAAACTAATTCGAATGTAATGCTGTCAGCATGACTGTTGTAAGTAAAATATTGACTCATTAGTTATTTTACAAGGTAGTCAAAAAAGTTCTTGTCGTTTCTGATATGACATTGGAAGAGTGAACCCCAACATAAAAATATTTGCCAAACCTGGCGATAAAGTTGTTAGAATGGGAGTCCGGACATTCACATAGAGTATAAAAACCCGTTGCATCGGCACTTCAAACAAAAACTCGCACAGCGACTGATTGACATGGATGCGTCAAAGCCACTCGTTCGGAGTCGTTTGCTGTATCATTTTAAAGTGGGCCTGTCAGCAGCAGAATCAAGTTGCCGAATTTGCCAGGGCTTTGGGGATGATGCCATTAACAAATGAACCGCTAGGCAATAGTTCCAGAAGTTCAGGTCAGGGGATATGTTTCTTAGTGATGCACCACACAGCGGTCGGCCACAAGTGCTGGACGATGAGGCCCCAACAGCAGCCATAGAGAGTGAAAGTAGCCAAACATGTTGTGAGCTTGCTGCACACTTTCAGGAATCTGATGAAACAATCAGACTCCATATACACCGTATAAGAAAGGCATACAAGCTGAGCAAGTGGGTACTCCATTCACTGTCTGATGCAAACAAGCAGCAGCATGTCGCTGCCTGTTTGTCATTGCTTACTAGGCACTGCAATGCATCCATATTTGATCGATTACTCACCAGTAATGAAACATGGGTCCAGTATGACACACCCAGGCATTCAAGACATTGGTTGTTACCATGGGACCTTCTTTCCACCCATGCAAGATCATGATCTGTATCTGGTGGACTAGTTTCCAAGCGGTGCACTGTGAGCTTCTGCCAGTGGGCCAAACCATCACGGCAGACCTGTACTAACAGCAGTTGGAACATGTGCATCAGGCACTGGTGCATAAAGAACTGGTGCACTGGTCAATCGTAAGGATGTACTCCTCCTCCATGACAATGAGAGGCCGCATGTGGCTCGGGAGGCCAGGGACACCATCCAGCGATTGGGCTGGGAGACACTACCCATCCACCATACTTTCCAGACCTCATGCCAACAGACTACCACCTTTTCCATTCCCTAGACAACCATCTTCGTGGAAAATTCTTCAACAATTGGCCAAACCTCGAAAAGCCCCTCATGGACTTTCGTGTCCAAGATTCCCAAGTTTTACCTTGATGGCATTGCATAGCTAGTTACTCGTTGGCAAAAGGCACTGGATGCTGATGGTGATTACTTTGAAAATTAGTGGTAATTATTATTTGTTTCATGACTTTTTCTTTCTGACTGTCCAAAACAGCAAGAACTTTTTTGGTTACCTTATATTTACTGCAGTTCACAAATTTTGTGAATTTTTACACTTTCCTTTTATTCCTCATAATTTTTATTAAATTTCTTAACATCATGGAAGCCTAAGTATGGAAAACATTTTATACTGTAAAATATAGATAATTTTTTTTTTAAATATACAGACTGTTTTATTACTCATACAGTGTATCAAGTAATAAATCTAAATTTTAGATTTTTATAGCAGCTTCAAGTACTCTCTCGGTCATAATCAATAGCAAGATAAATATTTTACATGCAACAAAATTGTACCAAAAATTAATATCCTCTTTTAAAAATAGAAACAAATATCTGGTAGTTAAATTTATATATGGAATCTCTGTTACATAAAAAAATTACAAGAAAAGAATGTATTGTCTCATTAACAAACCTAAAATTATCAAATTCCTTATATCCTCCTTTCACTGTGTAATTCCCTATGCAACGTGTATGATTCAGAAGTCCAACTTTTGATTCCTGTTTAAGTTTGGAGATATCTACACCTATGTGTGACATTCTTAAGAGTTCATCTTCATTGGTAAATGTATGATCAGAGCTTAGCTGACATATACATGTTTTTCCATCTTTGTCTTCTTTACAAAGAACAGCTCTACAATCACCTAAGCATAAAATAATGATATAAAAATATTTTAAATTTATTTAAATATAAAATACATAAACATGTATATAATATAATTAGTTACACACAATTTAATCATTCACAACATTTTTATCAAGCAGTACCCTCATTATAAAACAAACATTAAACAAAAAAGAAATCACAAAATCACGCTTTAATTTTTTCAATGTATACACATATATTATTTTCTTGTTTCATATCTTAGTTTTGATGACAATAATAAAGCCATTCAAATAAAATAGATTTGAAGCTAGATTTATTATTATTAATTTCAAGGTAACAGGAGAGAGGAAATAACTAAATGTAGCAAAGCTTTAGCTAGCTTATCACAGTCTGTCAAAGACTAAGAAAATACATGCAAATTTCAGTTGTTTTTAAATTATTAAATTCAGTTCACAATAAAAAATATAAGACAACAATTTATATGTTCACTTTTTTGCATTTTCAAAAAGAAATGTAATGTAAAGATGTAAATTTTTGTGTAGGTCATTATCAATAATGATAACTAGTTTTATTTCATTTCAACAATAATGTCAGTTGTTTTTCTATTTATCAAAATTTCTTAGTAAATTTCAGTTTTCATTTATGCTAATTGATATCAATGTATGCTGCCCAACCAGGATAGTGGTTAGTGACTCTAACTGCTGTAACCAAAGGGCCCGGATTTGAATCCCAGAGAAGGCAAGAATGTTCATAAATGTATATGTTTGTAAATGCAGCATGGGAGCACTCTATATACATATGCACTCTATATGAGCAGAAAGTCCTCTCAAGAGGCTAGTGTTGGAGAAGAAGGATGGGAAGACCTTCAGACCCATCCCCCACCTGAGGAAATCTCCCACAAAATTGAGGGCAAAACTCAGCTAAAGTCAGGCTGCCACCTATATGGTGCTAAAAGGCTCATGCAAACGACAGGCACATTTGACTCCTTGCCAAGATGAATGTCGTCGGCTGAGGACCATTGTCAAGCAAGTGAGAGTGGTAACCAACAACCATACCAATGTATTAATGATCTGTTTCTTTTTGCTATGCAAAAGATATTAATGATTTCTAGAACAATGAAAATAATGTTAAATGATTATGTAAATCTGTATATTCTTTAACAAATGCAGTGAAAAAAGTTGCACAGGGCATTGCACCACTCTTATAATCTCAAGTCTCAGTATTTATTGAATATAGGCAGTCTTCGGCTTGACAGAGAAGTTTTGTGCAGTACTATAAAATATAAATGTAAATATTCATGTGCATGTATAGATATTGTTCATAAAGTATTTTAAAAGTTAAATTCTATAACACTGATGCTGAGAATAAATGTTAATTTATTTACAAATGGAAATATGCATATTAACAAACATCCATTAATTTTAAATTTTTAAGAAAAATCACTAGTTATAAATTATGTTTAAATGGAAGAAATATATTGTAAATTACTAAAAATTTCATTTACCACTTCCTTTACTTTGCTAAAAAAATGGTACTTGCCTACATTAGCAATATACAATTTATTTTTTAAAATGAGAGCTACAACTGCAGTAGTTCCACTCTGAATTTCTTCTGTAACCAATTTAAGCCTCTGAACTACATCAGGAAACTGACTAATAGCTTCAATGGTTCGTAAGCCCTAAAAATAATGAACAATTTTTTTAATATAGTTGTTTTTTTTAACTTTTAATTTTGTTACATATAAACTATTATTATAGAAAAACAATCTAATATTTTAAAAGCAAAAATACACAGATATAGGTATTTTTTATTCTACATAGCTAAAAAAATACTTCTTTACTTTAAAATGATCAGGAGCATTGTTCACTGTTAGAATATTTTAAGGAATTTCTTTCATGCAGAAATATAAACCTTTCGTCATTTAATGAACATGGCGCATCATCTTAATAAAATTAGCATCCTTCCATCTAGTATATGCCAAATTTGCAATTCGGGCATCATGAATGCAGAGCATCTTCTTATATGCCCAGAACTAAATAAAGAGTCTCAGAAACGTAGTGAGATAAGTAAACTATATTGGAATGCTAGAGCTTTCATGAACTCCTTGTAAAGACTACATCTTTTATGTTCCTTTCCTTGTTGTTTAAATTTTTAACTTTTGTTCCCATGTTCATTTATTCTGATTCTTTATAAATGTCTGTTCTTTTTTATTATTTATCATTGTTCATGTGTGATACTTGAGCTGTTTTATATGTTTGGACTCATATTTCCAATACAGCCACATGTAACAACATATTTTATAACTTATATTTTGAATACTGGTATAACTTTAATCCTTTTTAAATTAAAGATCTTTCTAAAAATTCTTTCCATAATTTAATGATTAGAAGATGGGTGACCATATTATAGGCCACAATTGCAGAGTCTGAAAAAGACAGCTGTGGCCGATATTTCAGGCAGAGAAATTCTTCTCCGACTACCATTCAGGGTGCGGAGATAGTCATTATTTATTGAGATAGTCATTGATTACCTTAGTACCTCACAATCATGGGGTTTCATGAATTAACTTTTTCCTCAAGAGTGCAATGTTAGCTCGAGGCAAAAACTTTCAGTTGTGTTTCGCATGATTAACTTGCTCTCTAGAATTCTACATAAGTAACCTAACCATACTGATATGCATATGCAAATGAGATGTGCATACATGTATATGCAAACAAATATATGCATATTATATGCACACAGGGATAAAAGCATATACATGTACATATGTGTAAACACCATATATATATATGATAACTGTGTACAGTACAAAGTCCGTAATCTGGACTTGTCGGGACTTCGGCGATTCCGGATTATAGATCAATTTATATCTGGTAAGATGGCATGCAGAAATTATACAATTAAAAATATGAAACCATAATTTATGAAATAAAGAGCAATTATGATCTAAAGGGTATCAAAATTTAGAAAAAAAATAAAAAGGCTTAATATTTATTTGTTTACTTTATTAAACATTTCTTTCAATGTAAGTTGTTTAAGATGCTTCGTTTTTGTGCTAATACTTTCACTTCAATTCTATAAACAGACGTAATTTCTTGTTCAGTTATAAAGTTACACTGTTCAAGTCCTGTAATTGCTGTGTCGAGAATACTGACTAACTTGTCAATCGAAATTTTTTTGTCTTCAATAACCTCTCTGTCACTTTCTTCACTATTGGAAGTGGTATTTTCTGGATCTAGAACCACACTACAGATTTCGCCGTCCGTTAATTGATTGATGATTGGGCCATTGCCGTTGCAATGAAAAACTTCTGTTATATCATCTTCATTTATTACTGCTTTTGCAGCAATTCCATTTTTTGTTTGATAGACATTGAAACATGCTTTCACTTTGTAGCAGCTCCAGAATTGTGGCAGCTTCAGAATTGGAAACTCTTTTTGACATAATCGAAAATTCAAGCTTAATTTTTATAAAATTGCTCTAACAGTCTGCAAAAAATAATAAGCCGGATACAATTAGAAGATTAATGAATTCAATAATCTGCAACATTAACTGAAACGCCTTAGAATCAGTAAATATAATTTTAGCCTAGCTTATACCGTCCATTATACATTAAATGTGCATGCGTAAAGCATACAAAAAAAAAAAAAAAGTTTGTGGCTTTGATGCTTGGATTATAGACGTTCGGATTACGGACTTTGTACTGTATATTTATTTGTTTGTGTATATATTTCAAAATCACAGATTTAAATTCAAATATTAATTAATATTTTTTTCACATTCAACACAGAAGTTTTATTCAAAAATATGAAAGAGACGAAACACAATAATATTCCAATTATTGATGATTATTATTACGTCACGGCGCGCAATGAACTGGAAGTTGATTTGTCAGCACTATCCTCATCTTCAGGGCACATGTTTTTATTTTATTCAGCTTATAATTCCTTACTAAATGTAGTATTTCATCTCGATGTACTCTGTCTTTGATAGGATTTAAATCAAATTTCTCGTCATTATAATTATCACGAATACACATCAAATAGTTTTCTGGTTGCAATTTTCTAATTTCGACAACGCATAATGTATGCTTTACACATGTGCGCGTTGAAAGAAATGTTTAATAAAGTAAACAAAATAAATATTAAGTTTTTTTTTTTTTTTTTTAAATTTTTTTACCCTTTAGATCATAATTGCTCTTTATTTCATAAATTACAGTTTCATATTTTTAATCTTATAATTTCTGCATGCCATCTTATCAGATTTAAATTGATGATGTATAATCCGGAATCACTGAAGTCCCAACGAGTCCGGATTAAAGACTTTGTACTGTATTACAATGGGGGGGGGAATCAATACATTTAAAAAGAAAACTGAATAAGAATAATAATGAAAAAGGGAAATGAAGCTAATATCACAAAAATACAAGGGAATTCATTTAATATATAAATATAAATAGAAGCTGTTACACAATGTTTTAACAAAATGAATGCATATAGTTAAACATTTTTTAGTATAAATTAAAACTGTTAATCAGTACATGTAAGTCTAAACTAAATTCAGTTTAAAAACAAATAAAAACCTCTATGTACTGATTTTAGGCTTATCTAGGAGGTATTTGCTGCAAAACCATATTTTCATTATAATGCAGTGTTGAAAGTTAATATTCCATGATTCAAGAATTACTTAGTTATGAAATCTCACCATTTTATATTTCCCTAGTTTAGAGAAAAGACAAAAAGAATTCCTTCATCCTTAGTCTCTTATCTAAAAATTAACAAAGGCAACCCCTAAAGGAAAAGTTTTAAAACAGTAGTAGTTTCTCTTTACAATGGTAGTTAAAAGGGAGTGGAGAAGCATTTGGATTACCCGTCATTTTAAGTGAAATCCTTCCAAACTCCGCAGTCTTTTAAAAGTTAATAAATTAATTTTCTTCAATAATACACATTAGGGATGTCCAACCCATAGCTTGTGAGCCACCTATGTCTCAGTCCACCTTTTGATGTCACTTGCATAGAATCTTTGGTGCCTTAGTTTTGAAGTTAAATGCCAAGAGTGAAAGGAAAACTCAAATTCTAGTTATACCACACACTCACAAGCAAAGTTCACCAAAGCCACCTGAAGACAGATCTTCAGAATTTCAGCCAACACTATTTTACATTAGACATAGCATGGCAATATTGCTCTCAATATTCCACAGGTCATTATTGACGTCACAGTGGATTGCTTCAGACTGAAATAAATGCAGCATTTACATTCAGTTATCTTTATAAGTACTGCACAATATTTAGTTATTTTACAGCACCACCATCAGCCTGCATGATACAAAAGGCAGCTAACACAGAATGAATTTTCAAAGTTGTAAGTGTTTTTGAGGTAGCTGATTTGGTTATTTTATACAGGTACAAAAAATATTCATTTCTTCTGTCAATTCTTTCTGTTAATCATTAGTTTTAAAGATATTAATGATTTTGCAGTTACCCAAATCATGCCATCATATAAGGATAAAAAAGGAAAATATGTACTTATAATTTTAAAAATGAATGGGCAGAGAAATATTTTTTCATTAATTTTAAGAAACAAATGTATTTGTTTAATTTATGGTTCCACAGTTTCTATTGGAAATACATGCAACATAGGAAAACATTTTACAAAAGTTCATAAAAAACTGATATTAAATTTTATGATACTAACAGCAATCTAAGATAAAACAGAGTGACACTACTGGGAAGCTCATTCACTGCTTGACAATGAATGTTTACCAAGTCCACAAATAAAATGAAGGTTGCTATGACTGCATCATTTAAAATTGCATGTTACTTACAATCCATGAAAAGCCTTTTGAGGATGGCAACATAATTAAAGAATAAATTATTGCTGCATTGGAAATTTTATTTCAAAAAACTAAAACTAAAAATGAAATTATGTCAGTTATCCAAGATGTCCAATTATTCAGAAATTTTGTCACTTGTAGAATAGAAATTATGATTGAAAATGTTAGAGGACAGGAAAATATGATTCATAAAAATGCATTTTCTAAAGTTTATGATTAATTTTCTGTCTGATCACAGATAATTTCTTAAAAACAAGAATATCACAAACAGACTTCTGAATATATGCAGAAATAAATATTCACTCTTAAAAGAAATTTTTCAAAGATTAAACTCCTGCTTTAAATCAAATTACCATTACAAAAGTGGTTTTCCAACAATGAACTTGTTAAATTCAAAGTTCAGATCCTCAGGATAACAAATGAACATCTGAATGACTGCATGGATTTAGCCATAACATTGTATATACCAAAGTACAATAAACTCACAGAAGACATGAATTGTCAGATGCTTCACATTAGAATATGCTTTTCCTGTATTTAATTTGCATCTTCCAGAATTTTTAATAAATAGTAAAAATGTACTGTCAATTATGTCATTAAATGTTAATACAAGTGGAATGGACGTATACTAAGCTACTAAAAACTATATAACTGAAATTCATCTTCAGCTTCAAAAACTTGAGTTCGTAACAATAGATGACACACCTGCTATGATTTGTTCTGCTGCTAGTTTCATTACATTATGTAAGAATGATGCAGATTTTCCTACCTTTGTAGAGGTTATTTTAAAGTTTATTCATGGGTTACTGTCTATTCTCGTTTTGCATCTACTATTCCCTAACAGAATGAGTTTTTGGTATCGCATTTTATGCAAATGAGTTAGAAGGAGTATTTAAGGAAAGTTCGACTTACTTCAAGAGAAAGTGCTTAAGGAGTCTTTAATGGTGCGTGTTTGCCTTCTGGCTACTTCATTCTTGAATCCACTACGCTTGGCCATATTATATGTGACTGCTGATAATCACCAGCTAGGTTAATTTAAGGGCCAACTACATTAGATATCTGTGTCTAGCTTCGGCTAATTCTGCTGAGTATTAGATTAGTTTCTTATCCAGATTTAAAAGTGCAAGTGGAGGCTTTCCTGTAAGCCTGAGAAGGGGCCATCTGCTATCATTTCTTCATGCGAATAAAAGGGTATCGTAACCCTTCTCAAGACCTCAACATTTTATACAAAGTACTGAAGAATATTACAGCACTTTTAACTACCACTGCATCATCATCAGCAGGCATTATGTACAAAAGTTTTACATGATAGAAGTTGTTCAAAAAACTGTAAATTCTATTTGTTTCAGATCACTTCAGTAAACATTATTCAAAGTACTGACATATGAACTTGATGCAGAGTATCAAGAACTATGAATATATGAACTTGATGCAGAGTACGACATATGCAGAAGACGTATGAACTTGATGCAGAGTAACTTTAATGTTACATTCTAAAATTAGATGACTTAATAAGGAGAAAAGTCCTACAATGATTTTTAGAGGTTCTTCCACAATTTTTAGAATCCATAAACAAAACTTATGAAGAATTAAGTGATCATAGCTCGTTATCTAATTTAATTTTGTTTACAGACATAGCAATGACAGTAAATAAACTAAACCTTCAGCTTCATGAGAAAGAAAAGACTATTATCAAATTGCTCAGATGTATACAAACATTTTTCACAAATGAAAGAAATGTAACTCTAGAATAATAATGAATAACTTCAGTAACTTTTGCCACTTTAAAAATTTGGAGAACAACAAAAGAAATAAAAGAAAACTGAAGAAAGAATAAAAAAGAAATATAAGAAACTAAATATTCTGAAAATCTTGCCAAGCTTAAAAATAAATTTTGAAATTAGATTTTCTGATTTTTGTAAAATTCAGCCCATTGCTTCATTCATTTCAAATCCATTTGTTGATACTAATATTTTTGAAATATCGCAACATATTTCATATACGTTAAATAAGAATTCTGCTGATCTAGAAATGGAAATAACTGATTATATGTCTGATATATAATTAAAAACAGACTTTTGGACACTTGTAGAAATAAATATCCACTCTTAAAAGAAACTTTTCAAATGTTATACTCATGCTTTAAATCAACCTAGCCTTGCAAAAATAGTTTTCCAACAATGAACTTGTTTAGATCCAGGATTACAAACAAAGAACATTTATATACTACATGAATTGAGCCATAAAATCATATGTACCAAAGTACAATAAACTCACAAAAGACATGCAGTATCAGGTGTTCACATCAAAATATATTTTTCCTGTGTTGCATCTTATTCTAATATAAAGGGTACATAAGTACATGTTTCCTATACCACACACTTTTATAGTTTATGTATTATATACTTTTATAAATGAAATATTAAAAGTGCAATATATACGTAACTGTAGCTTGGCAATTTTTTTTTTTTTTTTTTTTTTTTTAAATTCTAAATTGACTTGCATTAAATTAAAGGTTTGGTGCAAATAATGCAAACTATTTATTCAGTATTCTGATATAACATTACTGCACCTGTAACTGTAGACGTAGCTTTTCCTTTTCGGCTAGAAGATCATCTATAGATTCAAAGAAACTCTTCTCAACAGCTAGAAATGCTTGATGCAATACTTCTCTCACATCATAGTCATTCTCTTTGCCTTTTAGTTGACCCAAAAGAATTTCAGCAGGCATTCTCTGGGCAGCAAAATCAGCAGCTCTAGTACCAACATGTCCATCAAAAACACCATAAAAATATGTATCTTCATCATATCTGAAAATATAATACGTTGTTATAAGAATCAAAACAATAACTGTACAGGATAACCTGGAAGAATATTAGAAAAATTATTTATAGATGCTAAATTTCACCAAAAATCCTAATTTAGTCATGAAACATTTTAGTCATTTGATTCAAAATTTGCCTTCCCCCCCCCCCCATGGAGGCTTCCTTTAATTTTTTTATCACTGCAATTGTTTTATTGGTATAACTAGCATTTTTTTAACATTTTAAATTCACTTTTAAAATTATTGTGTCTGTTACTTCTAGACACTAAATTATTACTACTTGTTATAAATTAATAAATTAAAAAAATTCCTCTATGTTATATCATTATCAGTATTGTTGATGTTATCAAGATTAAATATTGTAAAAAAAAAGGTAAAAGGTTTACTTTTTCTGAAGATCTTTCTCTTTCTAATCCAAAAGGATATCTGGGAATATTTTTATTTATTAATTGAAGATAATCACAATTCATTCCAAAAGAAGGGCACTTCTATAATATTATGTTCAATTCACAAATCACATTACTAACTAATTATATACATAACACAAAAGAGAAGGATTACATCTTTTATCCAAATGTCCATAACGAGCTAAAGTTTCATTGTAATTTTGTTTTTATTTTGTCTGCGCGCATGTACAAATCTGGGTACTTTTCCGTTTTGCCGGCGCAAGCGATAAAGTCGCCAATAATGGCATACAACCGATGCGAAACGGAAATTCTCGCTGGTACCTTGACGCCTCATTTCAAAACAGTCGCGCTTTCTTATCAGATTGATTGTTTCTTTCAATACTGGCATAATTACATAATTTTTTTATCAGATAGTTCTTTTTATGTCTAGGCCCTTTTCGGTAATTAAGTCCAATTAGGATGCAATCACAGCGCTTACTCGAAGCCGAAATATAGAAAAGGTAAAGTCAAGGGTTAATTCATCCATTCTAAGAGAATGCATTAGAAGGAAAGCCTGCTGTTTACATAATTTCTGAGTAAGCTATTCGAATTGACATATTTCTTGCATTTAAATTGGTTCCAAATAAGATTTAACTTGAATTAATGCGATAATACTGAGCATTGATTTTTGTAGAGTCGTTTTACGTGAAATGAGATCGGTTGGGGTCACGTGATATGACGGCGACAGGATGTGACCCATGAAAACATAGTAAATTCTTAAATTAATGTCTTTTTACAAATTTATTGTCTTATTTATTGGCTTTTTATAAAATTTTAAGCGATATTAAAGGTTTATGCCTTCAAAAAAAGAATTCTTAGAACTAACATTTTTTTAATATTTTTTATGTGTATGTTGTCGCCAATAAAGTCTGCTTGGCGAGATTTGCGCCGGCGAAACGGAAAAGTACCCAAATCTGTGGCGTTTGGTAACTGTTTTAATGGCGAGAGTTTCAACACACTCCCACCTTTCATTTGCTCAGAAGTCAAATTTAAAACTGAAACCTTTGGACAGGCATTACCTATCAACCACTTCTTGTAGTTATCAATGGAATCTTTTCGCTCTTAAGATCTTGAGGCGAATCATTATGAACATCAGAATCGCAGTAAGTCTCTGTCTTATCAGAAAAGCTACTTGCCATATTTATAAATTTAGACTGTTCATCTGAGGATGTTATCTCCAAAGGATACAAACGCTTGGTTCATTGCAAAACTTCTCCAAGCTTAGTCTTAACCTTAACTAGTTGCACATGTTCATCCTGAGATTTGAAGATCTCGATTCACCAATAACCAATCTGTTTGCTTCTTATCATCATCAAACAATGAAACTTAATCTCCTATTTTCAGAGGTTGTGAGGTTTTCACACGTTCATACTTCTTTCTGCCTTAACTGTCCGAGATATTCAATTCGAAATCTTTTAAGATAGATATTGTAGAAGTTTTTGATCAGTAAATAAGCCTTTAATAAATAAGATTTTGCATCTATATTATCCAAATCAGGAACTCCCAGTTTGTCGAATATGATGGAGAAACATGGAAGGCGTGATTGGAGATAAATCTTCAACATCTTCCGAAACACATGTCAATGGACGACTATTCATTATTGCCTCAAAGTCACAAAAAATGTTATCATTTCTTCATGACTGTGAGATGATTGTCCTAAAATTTTACAAAGGATTCTTTTCAGGACTCAATTTAATCACTCCCACCATCCTCCCCACCAGGAAGCTGTTGGCAGAAGAAATAATTTCTTCCAATGTAAGTTGTTTAAGTTGCTTCGTTTTCTGCACTAATACTCTCTCTTTAATTCTGCAGACAGACATAATCTCTTGTTTAGTTACACTGTTTAAGTCCTGTAACTGCTGTTTCAAGAATTCCAACTAACTTGTCAATTGAAATTTTCTCGTTTTCATTATCTTTTCTCTCACTTTTTTTACTATCGGTAGCACAGTATGTTCTGGATCTAGAAGCATACTATAGATTTCGCCGTCCATTAATACACTGATGATTGTGCATTGTCATGGCAATGAAAAACTTCTGTTATATAATCTTCATTTATTACCGCTTCTCCACATTTCTTTACAAAATCCATTAATTCGAAAATTTCACATTTTGGTTTGCAAGATTAAAAAAACATTGAGATTTGTGGCTATTATCTTTATCATCCTCACCATGAAATACAGTAGCTGGCCATGAATTACGTAAAGCACATTTTAAAGCATCTGGAGACACATCCTCTCATGATCATGCGAAGCTCCACACAGCAGATTTCATACTAACATATTTTAAAAATTCTTGAATAGTCTTGCCATTATTCAAGAAATTTAACACGGATTTTAAAAATGCTACTTTACATTTGCATTTTAGTGGGTGTGCTATTCCGATATCCATAGGCTGAATGATAAATGTACAATTTGGAGAAAAAAATAATATGGATACATTATCTTTCACTAAAACTTTAAGTGACAGTTGTCTACAATCAGGACAATTTTTCATCAGATACACCAGCCGAATTCAAATGTTGCCAAGCCTCGGGTATAAAATGATTTTCAAACCAATCACCCATTAATGCTTGTGTCATCCATACTGTTTTATTTGCACGATATACAGCAGGGAAAATCGTTACTTCTTCAACTGATAGAGGTCGTTATTTTTTCTGATTACAAAAAGTTTACACTCGTGCGTCCCCGCAGCATTTGCGCATGCTAAAACTTTTAGCTTCGCTTTGGAATCCTTGACACCAGTTGGAGCCTCTTCTGTAAAGGTTGTCAAGGTATTTCGCTGTACATATTGCCAGAAAAAAACAGTTTCATCAGCATTATAATTCTGTTCTGGAGATAACTTTTTACTAGTAATGAGTTCAATAATTCCATGTACAAATAGTTCAGCAGGTTCAGAGTCAGCTGAGCCCACCAGCGGCCGAGCGGTAAGGACGCTGAACACTGGTAGTTCGGTCCGAGGTTCGAATCCCGCGAACGGGCTGGCTGCATGGGTGTTTTCGTGGTTTTCCCCATGTGTAACGTGTATACGAGCCAGTTTCCCTTAGAAAGTCCTCCACGAAAGGCATCCCTTCCCTTAAGGCAGATAGCCCTAGTGTGCCTTTGCCATAATTAAAAACACCACACCACATCAGAGTCACTGAAGCTTTTGACCTGAAATTTTAATGCTTATATCATGGTGATTTTTAATTTGTTTACACCTGTGACATATGGGCACTCTGCTTTTAAGTTCATTTCTTCATGAAATATTTTGGCTTGACACAGATGTTACTGAAACAGATTTTACTGAAAACGAAAAAATTTCGATTGACAAATTACTCGGTATTCTCAACACAGCAATTATAGGACTTGAACAGCGGAACTTTGTAACTGAACAAGAAATTATGTCTGTTTATAGAATTAAAGAGAAAGTATTATCACATAAAAAACGAAGCAAATTAAACAACTTACATTGAAAGAAATGTTGGCTGATCTTTGGAATATGGTAACTGGTAGTTTGGCGACATTTTGGAGGCCATAAAGGTTACTACCTAGGACTTTGGTAATAATGTGAGAAGTACTCAGTTCCGATTACGCATTATTTTGTGTGAGGGAAATGAGAGATCATGAGATATGTCATGTGATATTAATGGACGAATTACAGTTCTTTAATCGGAAAAGGGGGGAAATTTGGAAAAATATCTGTAGCAGTATATTATTTTGTATTAAGCTTCATTGTGTGTTGTGTGAAGTAGTGTTGATTAATTTTCAGATTGCATGGCGCTGTCTAAAGTGAATTCTAAATATTTTAATGCGTTTATCTGATAATTCAAAAGAATTGGTTGAATGGTGTAGGTTTAATAGCGGATAAGTATGAATGTCCAAAATGTGGGAATGAAATGAGATTGTGTGAAAGGAAGGATATTACAGATAAGTTTGAATGGCGGTGCAAGAAATCTGGTGAAAATGGACATTTTGTGAAACGGAGTGTAAGGAAGGGTACGTGGTTTGCTGAAAGTCGTTTGAGTATGGGTGAAATTTTATTAATTTCTTATTATTGGGTGAATATACTGCCAGTTGACTACTGGATTTCGGATTTAGAAATTAGCAGTAGTACTGCAGCTGATTGGAATTCTTTCTGTAGGGAAGTGCACGTGGAATTTCGCGAAAATGATATGGGTATGCTTGGTGGTACGAATGTTATTGTGGAAATTCATGAAAGTAAGTTTGGGAAGCGGAAGTATCAGAAAGGTAGGAGAGTGGAAGGAAAATGGGTGTTTGGTGGGATTGAAAGGGGTAGTAATAAGTGTTTTTTTAAGGTTGTGCGAGATAGAAGTAAAGATTGTTTATTAAGTTTTATTAAACAGAGTATATTCTACCGGGTACTATAATCATGTTTGATTGCTGGAAATGGTATGCATGTTTGGAGGATGAAGGTTTTAAACATCTTGCTGTGAACCATAAATATCATTTTAAAGATCCTGAAACAGGTGCACATATGAATACAATAGAGGGCACGTGGAGTGCTATAAAAAGCGCCATTCCGAGGCATTGTGATAAAGAGAATTTTGCTTTTTATTTAGCGGAGGAAGTGTAGAGGAGGAAAATTCGCAGAAAAAATCTTTCAATAATTTTATTGAATCAATTAGAAAAAGTGTATCCACCACGTAATCAAGATTCTGAAGAAGATTAGGTAAGTTAGTATTTTTAATTATTTGAGGATATTATTTTTATGCATTGTTCTAAATGTAAGGAGTAAATAAAGTAATTTGGTATTATTGGAAAATTGTTATTAGCAATGATTTAGTTTAAAGTAATTAGGATTGTAAGCTAATTTTTATTAATTTAATGTATGTACTTATTTATATTTTAAGTAGTGTTTTTGAATTTAATTACATTTTAATTATAGTTATTTTGTGAATTATATGTTTGTAGGAATTTAGTATACGTTTGAGTGGAAGTAAACGTGCATGGAAATAATTTAAATATTTGACACTAAGTATTTGTAACCATTTGTAATGTTTGGTATGAATTCGTTGGTGACGTTTATAATATAATAGATAATTTAGAGGTAAAAGTTTTTGGATATTTTATTTATTTTATATGTGGAAATGTTCATCTTTGGAAAGGGTATATACTTTTTCGCGATCAGGTAATTTCATATATGTTCTTTTTACCGGATTTAAAGATTCAGAAAATTTTCATGCATTTTCGTGAAATTTTTCTAATTTATGAGAAAAAAGCAGTGTACATGGATATAGTGAAGAGTGTGCGAAATGCCATTTTTGTGCTATTCTGGGATGTTTTTTTAAGTAAAAATAAGTCGACGTGTACATGGTTTAGTGATATTTTAATTAAATGATAGTTATTTTGTGAATTTTATGTTTGTAGGAATTTGGTATACGTTTCAGTTGAAGTAAACGTGCATGGAAATAATTTAAATATTTGACACTAAGTATTTGTAACCATTTGTAATGTTTGCGGTATGAATTCGTTGGTGACGTTTATAATATAATAGATAATTTAGAGGTAAAAGTTTTTGGATATTTTATTTATTTTATACGTGGAAATGTTCATATTTGGAAAGGGTATATACTTTTTCGCGATCAGGTAATTTCATATATGTCTTTTTACCGAGTTTAAAGATTCACAGAAATTTTTTTTGCATTTTCGTGCAAATTTTTGTAATTTATGAGAAAATAGCAGTGTACATGGATATAGTGAAGAGTGTGTGCCAATGCCATTTTTGTGCAATTCTGGGATGTTTTTTTAAGTAAAAATAAGTCGACGTGTACATGGTTTTATGTGTATGTGCTTATTCTGAAAAACGTGCAAGGAGTTTGCGATTGTGCACTTTTCCCAATTTTGCAGTTAATATTTGTCATGATTAAGCAGTTTTGTTACATAAAATTTCTAGCATAAGTGTAATTCGGCTAGTAGATTGTTGGAAAAAGTGTTCAGTAAATAAAAAGAAAAGAAACATGTCTTTACTTCGTGAAGACGAAATGGCGGCGAAAAAAAAAATAGAGGGTTGCTGTAGCAGAGTTGGTCGCCAAATTTTTGCCAAGTTACCATATCTAAAGATCAACCGAAATGTTTAATGTATAAATAAACAAATAAATATTAAGCTTTTTTTTGTAAATTTTAATACCCTTTAGATCATAATTGTTCCTTATTTCATAAATTATGGTTTCATATTTTTAATTTTATAATTTCTGCATGCCACCTTACCAGATTTAAACTGATGATCTATAATCCGGAATCACCGAAGTCCCAAGTACGGATTAACGACTTTTGACTGTATTAATTCAAACAACTCTAAATGTAATCTTTTGGCCTACGAGTTTCATTAACAAAATCTATTTTTATTATATGGAAAGAAATTTTTGTTAAATTTTTCCCAGTCAGCATTTCTTAGTGCATTTAACTTAAATCTGTAATCATCGCTAAGTGCAATGTCAACATACAAGGCTGCCATACTCTTTGTTGTTCAGTTACTAATATAAAAAAAAAAAGTGTTTAGGCATTGCTGCATGAATCATTACGCAAGATGTCTTGTGTTGATAAACATGCGGTGATGAATGTAAAATATAAAACTTTCGATAAAAAACTTTTTTTTAAAAAAAACTTTCGATTTCAGAATCAGCTATCTTAAGAAATTCAAACTTATAATTCAACTTTTCTAAGTCTTCTAACAAATTTACATACAGCAAAACAAATCAATCTTAAAAATGCATATATATTACTTAAAATAAGTATTTATGCTTTAAAAAATTATCCTTCAAAAATTTATCGGAATAAATTTTGCTATAAATTTATGATTCAAACACTTCTTTGTGAAAATATATGTAAAATATTTTACATAATCCACAGATATATAGTTAAAAGTGGAAAATATATAAAAAAAAGTTTTACATAATGCACAAGAAAAGAGATAAACGTTTAAAAGTGAAAGCTCCTTAGAACTCTGAGTAGTGATTAATAAAATAAAAAATTTTAAAAAAGTACCGGAAGTGAAAGCTTTTATCTTCAAATGCATGTTCTTCTCTTCTAAAACCATCAACTCTGTACTTTTGATTTGTAGCAAACCCAACTCCAGATAATGGACAATAAGGTAAATCATCTGTCCAACTATGGCAAGGCTATATACAATTTTTTAAAAAAAAATAATACATTTAGAATCAAAACCGCAAAGCCATGAAAGAAATGAAATATAAAATCACTACAATCCCTACATCTCCCAACAAAAAAGTGTAAAAGGACCCCATTAATTCAGTATTTTCAAACCAGAAGGTGTTATACAAGTTTATGGTTAGCTATACCATCATAAAATAATTATAAGGTAGAAATAAAATAATGATGATACCAACTTATTTGCAAGAGTGCTCAACTAAAAAAAATTAAAAAAAAAAAAAAAAAAAATTCTTTAAATTGTTTTTTAATTTTATAAGACAGCATTTATTTCAATCATTTTAATGATACTGAGTTTTAAAATAATTTCAGAAAAATAATAAAATAAGAGGTAAAAGTTTATAATTGGGTGCCCCTTGTTTCTTAGCGATTCTTTTTTGACGCCAAGATCGGCATCAGAAAGGCACGACTTCAAGATGGCCGCTACACAAAACCAAAATAAGAAGTCAAAGAATTGCACAAACACTGTCTCCATATACACATCGATCTGTTTTCACTTAAAAAAACATCCTACTATTGCACAAACTAGGCATTGCGCACTGCCTTAAATTTGTCCGTGTACACATGAATCTATTTCCATTTAAATAAAATCAGGAAGCTAAAACAAAGTTAAAACTATCATGATAATCAGAAGTGAGGTTTCATCACCAAAATTTAAAAAAAATTGTCGCTAATCAAAAGGGCACCCAATTCTACACTAGAGAGTAAAATAATTAAATAATATGCCATTATTTATGGCAAAATGAGATATTTTATGAGATTTCTAATTTTCATGTCAATGCAAAAACTACAGTAAACATTAAAAAAAAAAAAAAAAAAGGCGGATGGGATGAAGAAAAATATATAAAATAAAATAAACTTTCAACATAACTCCTTGGAATACTCTCTGATTATAACAAACTCTGTTTTTTTAACACAATGTTAGTACCAGATTATTGGCCAATTCATATTTACTTTTTAATATACTTTGTGGCTACCAGGCTTCTGCAATTGTTTTTAATATGGCATCAGGAGCGCATTTCCTCATCCCACGTACTTTTGTCACATTAACTCTGCAGGGTAAGACATGATGATGGAGAACCATGCTTCATTGATTTTTATTTTGCCAGTTACTGGAGTGTCATAGTCTTTGAACATTTGGGGTATGAGCAGCTGTTCGATCAACAAAATAAAATTTATGGTTCAAAATAAAAATGTCTCTACGCTACTTTTTCCAGTTCTTCTATTTTACATACTAGACAACAGCCTCAATAAATCGTCAATTTCTTCTGTACATGGGCAAAAATATTCATCATGAGCACGCCCGCGCCAAGCCTAATCAACGCCATCGTGCAAATGTATAGCGAGCGCCTTTATAAGGTTTTCTCCCACCTTCCTAGCATGCCTTCGTGGTTCTGCATGCTGGGCCGGTATTCCAGAGGTCGGTGGTTCGATTCAAGGCGAATGCAGTTGCTAATTTTTCATATCTCCGGCTTTTCCAAAGCCACCTAATGTCTCTACAGTGGCGCCCGAACTAAAAGGGTCGTGGATGATAAATCTCCACACCCAGGATTTTGGCGATTGGGTCCCCTTTAATAGGAGGAATATATAAGGTATTTCTCCCATCTTCCTAGCATGCCTTCATGGTGTAGTGGTCAGCACACTGAGCCGGTATTCGAGAATTCAGGTCCGTGGTTCGATTCCTGGCAAAGGCATCTATTTTGCTCCAAAAATACCTAATGTCTCTACACCTTTATGCAGTAATGATTATTTTATGTAAAATGGATTAATGAAAACCAACTTTTCTATGAATCTGCTGATTTAATTAATCTAGCTTATTTTATTTTTTTAAAATAAATTAATAATTAATACAATTACATACATTTTACACATTATTTCATTATTCCAGTAAGTATTAAAACGTGCACATGTAGTATATTAGTAAAGGCAATACCTCTTGCAGGCACAAGCGCAAATCTGCCATATTACTTGCGAGATCATCAAATTCTGCCTTAGTTGGCATAATGATAGTCTGAAAAAATAATGAAACAATAAGAAACAGTTGAAAGTTATTACACGCTACGGATCTTGAGGTCAGAGTTACTTAGTAAAAACCAAATACACAAATATAGACGTTAAGTCTTACTTTTTAATATTTGGAAATTAACATAAAGTACAGATTAAATAAAAGCGCGGGTAACAAAGCGCAAACAAACAACAACAAAAGCGCTTCTGAAAGTAATTAAAAAAACTTTAGACATACATTTCAAGGATTGCACTTATTCGTGCGATAATGTAACATATCATATAATATTGAGACTCACTTTGAGATGAACGATGATAAAAAATATTGAAATCACAACTCACCGTTTGTAGCAAAATTCACTAGATTATTTCATTCGTTCTCTTTCTTTTGATCAGTAAAGTACCAAAGAATCAAAAGCTGTAATAAAACGTAACTAAAATTTTGAAAAACACTCGTTTTCTACATCTGAACAACAGAACCAAATCATAAACCTTTTCACTTTGCCTCCACCTCAAAACTATTAACTTTGAAAGAAAAATTATTTTTTTTAAGAACAAAATTAAAAGTAGAAAATGTATTAGCAGTGTTTCTCTAAGGTTAATGTATTTTATTTTACGGTGTTATGCTTTACTATAATGTTCCATAATTTTTCAAAGACTTCTCAGAAATACATGGTTCATGATTTATCTATATTAATAGTGTATGAATTAGTCTTAAAATTTATAATTTTATTATTAGGGAATTATTAGTTATTTTGTAATTCATTACTTAAAAAAGTAAGACTTATCTGCCTTAAATAATCGATTAATTGAGAAAACGAAACAACTACAATATGGCAAATGTCTGCTGCACTTCTGATAGTCAAAGAACATATTTTAGCTTCTCTTAGTCACTGTACTTGATCTACTGCTTCGAAAAACGTGCGGTCATGGGGAATACTGATACAAAATTGAATTTTCGAAAAGCAGTAATCCAGTTAACAACAAAAACTCAGGTATCTTAAAAATTACTTTTTTGCGCTTCTCCATATCAAAATATGTTTGTGAAAAAGTCTTTCATCCAGTAAGAACAATTTTAAACATGCTTTCAAGCATAAAGCAAATTTTATGTATAGCAGAAAGCTTTATTGTATTTAGGGTAATTTTCTTTTTCGATGTCATGTCTTGTAACTTCATTTTTTTTTCACTCCTTTGAAATCTACTTTTATGACATTTTATTTTAAATATAATTGTTTAAAATAAAAAGAAAGTACTGTAAATATAATCGAAAAATTTGTTACTATTTCTTTTTGAGTTTCCTTATTCATAAGAAATTATTTTAAAATATCAAAAAAGCTAGTGAAGGCTGATATCATGATAAAACGAATTTCTGCTTCTTCAGTTTTATATCCTTATAATACTTTATATCCCCTTGTTTTTGAGTTTTCTTCACTTTAGCCTTCAAATTCATAAGAAATTATTTTAAAATACCAAAAATGCTTATGAATGCTGATATCATGATAAAACGAATTCCTGCTTCTTCAGTTTTGTATCCTTATAATCCTTTATATCCTATTTTTGTCAAATTTGTCTTATAGTTTAACTGCAAAGTAACTCTCTCAGTTAGAACTGCAGTCTGAAATTCGAACCCAGGGTTCTGATGGATAAGGACTGTCTAGTAAAATATCAGTTCTAAATTATATGGGTCAACCATCCCCAATTTGCAGTCATTCCTTATCACTACTTTTCTATAAAGATCTACTGTGCAAATGCTCAGTGTAAGCATTGTGAGTAATTCATTCAGAAATTATAATAGCAGAGTGATGAAAAGAGGAGGAAAACATAGGAAAGGAAATAGACTATTAAAGGATAAATGTATTTATACAAATGTTTCAGTACCTAGTAATTTATAGGAAAGTATTAAATGCTTAGAAGATAAATCATATAATACAAATTTTGTTGAACAATCAGAATTTTACAAACTGTTGTAATGCTAAAAAATGGGGCATAATGTGATAGAAGAGTTTGACATTTATGCTATGTACTATGATAAAGATCTCTATTATTTTGAAAATTCTGAAAATTGTAAGTATAAAAATCTTCATATAGCAATGAAATTTTTGTAAAATTTCTTGAAAGAGGTATCAGAAACTTCTATTTGCCTAAGTGAGATGGTATGGAAAACATAATCGTGTAGTATATTTTTACGAATAAATACGTTTACTAGGTATTAATCAATCAGCTCTGGATGATGAAGCAGTAGACCGTTGCCTATAAATGTTGCTAAAAATTGTTTAAGTGGTTATTGTTTTACAGAATGCAAGAGTAAATGGTACTTTTCCGTTTTGCCGGCGCAAGCGATAAAGTCGCCAATAATGGTACAACCGATGCGAAACGGAATATTCTCGCTGGTAACCTTTTATGCCTCATTTTCAAAACAAGTCGCAGCTTTTTCCTATCAGGTTGATTGTTTCTTTCAATACTGGCACATAATTTTATAGAATTTTTATCAGCTAGTTCAGTTTTATGTCTAAGGCCATTTTCGGTAATTAAATCAATTAGGATGCAATCATAGTGCTTACCCGAAGCCGAAACTATAGAAAAGGTAAAGGGTTAAATTCATTAATTCTAATGAGAATGCATTAGTGAAGTAAAGCACTGCAGTTTTACATAATTTCTGAGTAAGCTATTCGTACAATTGAAATATTTCTTGCATTTAAACTTGTGTTCCAAATTAAGATTTAACTTGAAATTAATGTAGAATGTAGATAATTACTGAGAGCATTAGATTTTTGTACAGTAGTTTACGTGAGATGAGATCGCTTGGGGTCACGTGATATGTGATATGAACCGGCGAACGAATCAGGATGTTGAACCATGAAAACATAGTAAATTCTTAAATTAATGTCTTTTTATAAATTTATTGTCTTTATTTATTGGCTTTTTATAAAATTTTAAGTGATATTAAAATGTTTATGCCTTCAAAAAAAGAATTCTTAGAACTAACATTTTTTTAATATTTTTTATGTGTATACTGTATGTTGGCCCCAATAAAGTCTGCTTGGCGAGATTTGCGCCGGCGAAACGGAAAAGTACCGAGTAAATTTTTTAGATATCAGATAAATTTATTTCTGTACTTAAGTGACCACATTTTCATTGAGACAAAGCGGGACAAATGGAACGAAAGGAGAATTGTAATTTAGTTATGAAAGCAGACCAATAATTTAAAAATATATTTTATTGTATATGTACGTGTCTATAAATATACAAAAATATATTTATTATTAACTATTGGTAACTATAAAAGTATTTGTAAAAAATAATAATTTGAATGTTATGTTTTTAAATAATTTAAAATTTTATTTAAAAAAAAGATTTTCTTTCATGGTTATATTTTTTATCCGAGTGAATACTTTGCAATAGATTCAGATCATTTATTAAAATGTGAAATTTCTTACATAAATTGGTCAAATTATATTTTACGCTTAATACAGATTTCAAAGTTTTAATGTTCAACTGCGTTTTTTCAATTGTCCATATTTTATTGATACTAGAAAAAACACGTTCTGTTGCTGTATTTGTTCCTAGAAGGAAGAGCGTGTGGTCTACGATATTCAAAATATTTTCATAAGGAATGTTTTATTATGTTTAAAATGTAGGAATAACTCGTCCATTTTTTGTCTGTTCCCACATTTGCAGACAACCAACATTTAATTTTTTTCATCAGTAACATATCTTTTTACCAATGACACCTCATCAAAAAGATCATGATCACAATTAATTTTTGGAAAATGGTTACTAATATATTAAAAAGATTTTCCCATATATTCCCATAAAATCTCCTTTTTTTAATGTCACCCAATGAAAATTTTTAATATCCTCGAACTGAACTGTTCGTTCTTCAAGATATTCCAAGCAGTTGTTATAAAAATTTCTGACTTCTTTCAGAAAATCAGGTCATTTAATGGCACCTTGTTCTTCCAACCTAGTGATGTCCTTCCGAATAACTAAAGGAACATAATCGTTATCAATTCTTTCTCACAATTTTGTTTTTAAATTATTGATTTCATTTGACACTTCCGTAATTAAAATTTTGTCCCCTTCAATAATTTTCACAGCACTTAAATAATATAGCTTAGTTATGGATGAACTGAAGCCAAATTTGTGATGTGTCTTTTTCAAAAAAGAGCTACAATATTCTTGGACATTTATCTTGTGATGAAAAGTATGATTTTAATAGTTCGTATATTTTTAAAATATTTTCTACAGTTGGTGAAAGAGATAGCCATCGTGTTTTGCTGTAATCAATAATTCTTTTATATTCGATTTCTACGCTTTCACAAAAATCCTTCAAACTGTCAACATGCGCAGTATATATATAAAAATATTAATAAATTTTTGCAATAATATTTTCAGCATACACTGGAAGAAAGTCAGATGCTGTTTGAATAGTATTGTGTAGAATGTGTGCTGCACAACCTACTCAAATAGTTTTTGGTTCAAATCATGGAGGTAAGAAGTTAGATGAAGTGGCCCTAAACCGGTTTTCCCATACCCTGCTTTGAAGCACTGGCGATCCCTTCTTTGGTGACCAAAACATTGGGTAATTTACCTTTGAGTTCAATGGGTTTTGTCATGATCGGATGTAAATATTTTGTAATTACGTCGTAAATATGCATATAAATGTGTATATTTTCTTTTTCTACAATACTTCAGAGGCCTAAGTATATAAAAAGAATACATTTTTAAACAACATTTCATTCTGAACGGAATTAAATGTCGTACTTTTCACAGAACAGTTTGCTCAGAATGGTTTAATTTGAAATATTTTCACAAATTTTCGTTAATTACATTAGAAAAAAAATTTAAGGTAATTTGATTTGATTCGGTTAAGGATTACAAAAATTAAGATCAAAGTTTATTGTATTATTAAAATTATGCATTATTTCCTTTCTGTTTATAAAGCTTCTTCCTAAAATACTTTCTCAAATATGATATGATTTTTTAGCTTCTGAGGCATCTTTTTAAATCAAAAATATAAGTCAATTTATAATTAATGCTCTATTCGGTCCATTTCAAATTACAGCACCTTTTAATTTAATAGCAAAATATTTTAAATAGTACTTAACTTTCTCTGAATATTTCTGGAAGGAAATAAAATAAGGATTATTTTTTAAATATTATTTAAAACTTGTACTTGACTTATATAAAGGGATATGTGACTGATAAGGGGAATAATTCTTTTAATTATACTTATTATATTTTTTACCCTTAATTTCAACAATACATATTCCAAATCTCTTATTTATTAGGTATGCATCTCATAGAAATTGCTTTACTACCTTTTAACAGATTGCTTTCCAGATGAACAATTCTTGTTTAAATAGTTTTATAACGTATTTGTCAACAGGATGTCAATTTATGTTTACAATTCAATGTTGAGGTTATATATATTTAGATAATATTTATAATCATTATAAATTAGGGTGCATTTAATAATTAGATTTTTTCACAGTTATTTATGAATGAATAAATCCTTCATTTCAAATACATTTATAAATAATTAAATAAGTATTTACGTATTTTGTTAAAGGTAGATACATACTTTTTGGAAGCACATGCACCCATACATATTTCATGTTTTCATTTCCGGCATGTGGAAATCTTTAATTTCTGTGCATTCACTATATTTTTTGAGTAAAGTAATTTACACTAATTTTAAAAAGTACATGTTACAATAATACGTGGATGTGAAAAACAATTAATTTTATTTAAAACATTTTGGCGTTTGGAACATAAAATAAAAGTAGCGAATACTGTATTAAGGGTATCGAAATATGTATACAATTTTAAAGGTATGGTGAGGTATTTATCATTCTTTTCAGATTCTTTCAGATTTTAAGCATAACGATTTTGCTAAAATCTATATTTTTGTAGTTCAACAGCTTAGAATTTTATAAAACAAATTCATAATCAAAATTGCTGTTGTTAGTTATCAAAAAATAACCAAGATGTAATTTTTGCGTAAATGTCGCTAAACTATACAAATTGCTGTTATCCATCATACTAGGAATGTTTCTTTTATGCGGAAGTGTCCCATTTTTTAATTTGTATGGAACTGTTGTGTGTCGAAATACTATCAGAGCGCTGTGAAGCGAGCTTCTGAATGTAAACAAAAAACACCCCATCTGGTGACCGAAGCTTTGGAGCAGTGCTTCACTTCTAATGCCGGTTTGGCCACTCCTTCCTTTCTTACCTCCATGGTTCAAATGTTCGTTATGTTTCGTAAAAACGTAATTGATGCCTCTTTTAGATTTTCCACCAAAATTTGCGTTTGTCTTATCCTCAAAATAATTTTATTGTTCAAATTATTCTTTTTTAAAATAGTACTTATTGAATCAAAAAATATTTGTAAAGTTTCACCCAGTAATGAAACAAAATCTAATATTCTAATTTTAATTCCTGTTTCTGGATCAAGAAGTCTAACAATTATGGGAAATAATTTTAAATCTTTGTGTTTAGAAGCATCGCAATATATGGATATAAATGGGGATTTATCTAATTCTTTCTGCAATAGGGAAAACGAATATGGTGAAAAAACATTACAAATAATTGCTTAGGTTTTTGTCCGTGCACATGCAAATTTTTTGTCGAAAATGATTTGATCATTTGTGACATACAATCAATTGATCTGAAACTTTGATTGTGGTTTATGGTGTGGAAAGCAAATAGCCCTTCAGCTAATGTGGGCTGTTCCTCAAATAACGGTACATATTCCTTGGCTAGACGTAACGGCAATGATCGAACACCATTAAGTAAATCAAACTCGGTACATCACCTAATTTAGTTTAATCTGCATGCATTTTATGTTTTTTTATTCTTTATACTGTAAAAAACTAAAAATAAAAGGTAATATATTTTACAGTACATTTAAAATAAGAAATGCAGCTGTTTTCTAAAAAGCGGGACATTTTAAAAAATCGGTGGGATGCGGGACGATCCTTCAAAAAGCGGGACTGTTCCACCAAAATCAGGACGTGTTGGTCACTTTATTGTATACACAAAAATGTACGCTTTGTCCTATTTATCTCCATCTATAAAATGAAAACATCCCTAATTGAGTCTGATTATTCTAACACTTTCATATGAAAAGATAAATACAGTCAAAAGTCGTTAATTCGGACACCCGTAATCCGGACCTCAAAGCTACAAACTTTCTGCGCATATGTCGCTCTGACGCATGCACTAAGACTTCACGGCTGCGAATACGCATGTGTGCGTGCGCAAAATACGTTTACGAATGCGCGTTTAATGTATAACGGACGGTATAAGCTAAGCTAAAATTATCTAATTCAGTTAATGTTGCAGATTGCGTTGTTCCTTAATCTTCGAATTGGATTCGGCTTATTATTTTTTGCAGACTGTTAGAGCAATTTTATAAAAGTAAGCTTGAACTTTCAATTATGTCAAATAGAATTTCTGATATATATTTACTAATATGTAAAGGATCTACAAAGCGAAAGTATGTTTCGAAATCCATTAAACAAAAAATGGAATTGCTGCAAAAAATGGATAAAGAAAGGCATATCCTTTGTTTATCTAAAATTTGTTTATCTTTAACGCCGTGGCGCGGTGCACAATGAATTGGAAGTTGATCTGTCAGCACTATCCTTATTTTCAGGGCAGATGTTTTTATTTTATTTGGCTTATAATTCCTTACTAAATGTAGTATTTCATCTCAATGTACTCCATCTTTGATATGATTTAAATCAAATGCCTCGTCATTATAATTCGCTTCCGATAGCGAAGAAAGTAACAGAGGTTATTGAAAATGAAAAAATTTCGATTGACAAATTAGATCGTATTCTCGACACAGCAATTATAGGACTTGAACAGTGAAATTTGTAACTGAACAAGAAATTATGTCTGTTTATAGAATTAAAGAGAATGTATTATCACATAAAAAATGAAGCAACTTAAAAACTTACATTGAAAGAAATGTTTAATAAGTAAACAATAAATATTAACCTTTTTTTTTTTTTTTTTTTTTTTTTTTTTTTTTTTTGTAAATTTTGATACCCTTTAGATCAATAATTGTTCTTTATTTCATAAATTACGGTTTCATATTTTTATTTTTAATTTATTAATTTCTGCATGCCATCTTACCAGATTTAAACTGATGATCTATAATCCGAACCGGAGCGAAGAACGAGTCCGGATGAACGACTTTTGACTGTAAATATGTTTTTTTTTAGATAAAAAATGACATTAGTCAGTTATTGTCCCAATCCTGATTTAATTCTTGACTACTTAAAATTATGATATCCAATTTGCATATGAAGTAAAATTTTTATTAAATGTATGTCTAAATGAACTCGTCATGCGGAAATTGAAGCATAATTTTTCATGATTTTTTTAGTAAGTGGGTTGATTTAAGGGTAAAAATTATCCCGTATGTTCACCTTCTTCCCAGGGAAAAAAAGAATCATATTTTACCTTAATCTATCTGTAATTTGTGATCTCTTTGGAGAGAAAGGTAAAATATATGGTATATGGGAGGGAAGTGTCAGCAAGTGAATTTGTATCTCTGTGTTTATCAGGTTATTCAAGAAGTATTTTTTTTTTTTTTGTTTGTTTTTGTTTTATAAGAAAAGTTTTCTTATAATACATAAATATTTTATTGAGTTATGTGTTGACCATTTTAATCTAGCACCATTTGCCATCTTTTTAATAGTAGCATGATTTCATGACCATAAAAGTTCTGATCTTTGTTTATAAAAAACTCATTTAAGTGATTTTTGAAATTCTGATTTGAAATAAATGTTTTGCCTTTTAGAAAATTTTGTAAAGATCACAACAAGTAATAATCCAAGAATATCAAGATCTAGCAAATATTGAGGATGTGATAATACATCCTATCCTAGCATTATCATGGTGAAACACTATAGGTTTTTCTATTTGATGGTATTACTCAGTTTGTGCAGTTCATCATAGATCACTTTCGAATCCATTGTGGAATTGTGGACTAGATGTTTAAAAAAAAAGAAAGAAAGAAAGAACACAACGCATGGCATTCAGCATTGTTGTAAACAATGGATTCTCATCAGCAGTCATGATTCACTTCAAAAATGGATCATTTCCCTGAAGTATGAGAAGCAAGTCACAGGTATCAATGTGAGGAAGAAATTTTGGTACTTTTCTGTTTCGCCACCGAAAATATTGCCAAGCAGACTTTATTGGCAACAACATACATTATACAAATGTTAGTTCTAAGAATTTTTTATTTTGAAGGCATAACCATTTTAATATCGTTTAAAATTATTGGAAAAAAGCCAATAAATAAAGACAATAAATTTGTAAAATATATTAATTTAAGAATTTACTATGCTTTCATGGTTCAACATCCTGATTCTCCTTTTCATATCATGTGGCCCCAAGTCTCATGTAAACTACAAAAATCTCTCTCTGTAATAATCTACGTTAATTTCAAGTCAAATCTTAATTTGGAATACAAGTTTAAATGCAAGAATTATTTCAATTCATACGAAAAGCTTACTCAGAAATTATGTAAATCTGCGGTGCTTTACTTCGGTAGTTCATTAGAATTGATGAATTTAACCCTTGATTTTGCCTTTTCTATATTTTCACCTCCGGGTGAGCAGTGTGATTGCATCCTAATTGACTTAATTACCGATAATGACCTTAGGGCATAAAATTGAACTATCTGGTAAAAATTCTATGTAATTGTATGCCAGTATTGAAAGAAACAATCAATCTGATCAGAAATGGCTGCGAGTTGTTTTGAAAATGTTGCGAAATGTTTGAACTACTTACAAAGTAGAAATGCGAATTGTGTGAACTACTTACAAAGTAGTTTATTTCTTTTGTTCTTGTGGAAATTTAGTGGCGATAGCTTTAATATTAGATTTAAAACAATTGTTCCTGTTAATGTTTTTGCAGCAAAAGGGTGTATTCCTGCAGAAATTTTACCACAATTTCTTCTACTCCCAGCAAATTCCACAAGTGCATATTTTAAAATTGAGTTTATGGTAAAAAAATATCATGATTTGGCTATGAAAATAAAATGCAACCTAAAGAATGCATGTGGAAATAGCAACATTGCTTGACTGAAGAATCGTTATGAATATGGTTGCCAGAGTCTGGCAGGTCCTGAAAATTTGGCGACTTTTACTAAAGTGGTTGCTGTAATATGTGAATAACAAGATTTTTAAACCTGATTTACACAAGACTTCATCATCATAAAATCATAAAAGTGATATTACATACTGAAATATTGTAATTCTCTGTGATAGATTTGTAAAACTTCCATTAAGCAGATAAAAAGTTTTTAACAAATTAAGCAGTTGTAAAAGGAAACTATTCTGTTATGAAAAATGTGTAACCTGTTTCTTTTCGAAGCATCTATGTAGGTTTGCTTTTTTGCGGAAAGAATTATTATAATTCTGTTGGTGCCTTTAGTTTTTGTTCCATTTAAATCAATAGCAGTGTTACTCATTTTTTAATTATTTGTTAATTTCATTTTAGTTGTTTTTATTACTTCTCTTAATTTAAAGTGTTTCTTCTGGGAATTACTGATTTAAATTATCAAACTGAAAAACTGATCATTTTATTCTAGCCGATTGAAGCTAAAGATGATGTTTTTTGGGATCAGTTTTGGTCAGAGAGTGTCCAAAGTGCTCAAGATGTTTTTACTCTTATTCCTGCTGCAGAGATTCGAGCTTTGCGAGAAGAGTCACCTTCAAATTTAGCTACTCTATGTTATAAAGCTGTTGAAAAATTAGTAGCAGCAGCTGATAGTTTATGTAATACACATGTACAGCAGCAGACAGGTAATATCTATTTTTCCCCCAAAAAATTTGTATTCTCTTTTATTTTACATTTGTATAGGAATGCATTTCAATTTTTTTGGGTGGTAATAATTATTTATTTTTTAACAATGTGTTTTCACGTATTTATTATTCCATTAATTATATTCAAACAGCTATCAAACTACTTTATAAACATATAAATTTCTATACATAATGATATTTTAGTTTTGTATTGTGTGTAAATGTTTTAAGATCTATGTAGTAGTTGGATTTCTTTCCATCAATAAGAACATTTTCAAATCCACCAGTGGCTGAGTGGTAAAATTACTGAATACTACTAATAGTTTGATCTGGGCATTTTGTGGTTTTCTCTATGTGTAATGCATATATGACCCAGTTTCCCTTAAAAAGTCTTCCACAAAGGCATCCCTCTCCCTCCAGATAGCCCTCCAGAGCCTTGTCATAAACCAAAAACCATAGAAACCATATAGAAGAATGTTTTAAGTATTTCAGTAAATAATAGTTTGTTTTGAAATTGTACATAAAAGTCCTAGATATATTGCTCATACTATAAATTTGACATTTGAATTAATGTTTTAAGAATTAAATGTATTAGGACCTTTAAATAAAAATTTATTGAACCATATGAAAGATATTTTTCACATGTGATGGTTTTTAATTGTAGTTTTATGGTCAAATTTCAAAACTGTTTTAAGTATTCTTGGACACTTGTATTTTTAAGATTTATTTGTGTGTATTTTATACTAAATATAACTTAAATACATAAACTTTAAATTTTTTCTTAATATATTATTTTTTCCTATTTTAAGCCTCACGTATTACAAAATAAATATAGTCAATGTAATCTTTGGAATAAAGTAGTTTATTCAAAAAGACTTAATCAGTAATTCACATAATAATTCAGACAATGGAAAGTTTTGTCATATTTTTTCTTTCCAATGAAAATACATCACAAGAATTTTTGTCTGCATTTGGAAATTATTACTTGTTTAGAAAACTTTGTTAACAATTCCGTATTTAATGCAAACATTGCAAGATGCTACAAACTAATGACAAGTTCCGTTAAAAACTTAATTATTCTTCATTTTAAAGATGGAAAAGATATTCAAAATATCCAGAAAAAATCCTTGATGTAAAATACTCAGCTATCTTTGATGCTATAAAATAATATAAAACTATGTGGAATAACTGAGAATGCACTGAAGTCTGGATCCCATTTTAAGCTAATACCGAAGATTTAGAGATTTATTCTACAAAAAAAAATAAACAAGGTCCCAAAAATTAGTGCTATGATATGTGCAGCAGATTTGAAGGAATGGTTTGCAACAAAATTTAACTATGATTTATTATTGGAAGAATCAGTAGAGGCCATGGATACAATAGGCAATCAGTAAGAAGGAAGTTCTTTGTCAACAAGAAATCAAGGAATATACGCATGCCATTCACAAAATCCATAGTAAGCCAAATTTTTATCATATCGGAACAATGCAATATTTACAGATGAATTAAATTTAATATATATGGACCTGATGCACAAATTACCATGTGACAAAAGCTAAGTGAAGACTTAAATCCGAATAACCTATTGCCTGCCGTTAAGCATGGGAAAATATATGGTTTGGGAATGTTTCATTGCCTCTGAAATGGGAGATTTAGTTTGTATTGGAAGTAATATAGATCAGAATAAATATATAAATATTCTTAGAAACCTTAAAGCATCTGCAAAGAAAGTAATATGCAAAATACATTTAAGTTCTATTAGAAGTTAAGCCAGTATCCTGGAGTTATTAAAACTCCTATGCATTTTCTGCACTGAAATCTTCTCAAACATATATGAAGTGAAATGGGAAAACTAATACGAAAACTTTTTTTTAAATTCTACTGATACCAAGGGATGAAACAAAATGGAAAATTCAGTATTTATGTATTATCCCAATGACCCTGAAAAAGGGCAGAGGTCCCACCAAAGTTGCCTCAGTTATTCCTGCAGAATTCTGAAATAACAGATGCCTCTGTATTTAATAAATGGTAATGAAAGGATATCCAACAAATAGTGAATGCCATGTTATTTTCATGTTTTATTATTAATTTTTAGAGAATTCCCTCCTCCCTTTTTTTTTTTTGACTAAACGCGTTTTGAATAACTTTTTTCAAAATGAGCAGGCTTAAAAAAATTATCGATAGTATATGTGAAAAGAAAAGAAAATCATTTTGCTAATATTTAGTAAATGATATCTGCAAATAAAATTGAAATGCAAGTTCACTGCACCAGTCATATGCTTCCCCATTATAGACAGGCTGGTATAGGCACCATAGATGTTGCAAGATAATTCTTCAAATGTATGTTGCCTCATATAGAAAAGCTTTTTTAATCATATAATAGGGACATGAATAAAAAGATATTGTTATGAATTTTCTCTCTATATAAATAATTTTAGTTAAATTATATGTGAAATTGTAGTAGGTTCTATATGTAATGTGAAGAATGAAAAATGTGAAGCTCTGCCATTAAGATTACAGGATCATCTAAGATTACAGGAGGAAGTCTATTTAACATTGAGGTAAATTGAGGGCTGTCTCACTGGTAAGGTATTGCAAAGCTGGCAATGGTTTTGGGGACTAATTTTTGTTCCCATAAGTCGCCAAACTTGACAACATTTTGGTCCAGTCCCTGTATAACTGTAATTGATTGTTATATATAATTGTAACCATATCAGCTCTTATATGTAACTTTATGTGCATTCCACTATTTTTGAGAAATGTAAGATATTAGAGATTTCTCGGTGATCATGTTAAAACTGTATAAGGCCAGACAGAGCATCAGTTTTCAATTTTTAATTCAGAACTTGGAATATTGAGATCTCCATGAGAGCATTGCATTGTGTTTAACATTTCTAGTAGTCTGTGCTTAGATACTGGGAAGAGCTGTATGAGTGTGTGGTGGAAAGTTCCAGAACTGTAAAGCGTTCCTGTTGATAAAATGAACTTTTCAAGCTATCATCAGTTCTGCATGCATTGATTCCATTATGAACCCTTATGCACACAACAATATTGTTCATGCTAGTTCTTTATTTCTTGTTTCTTATTCTATTTATGCTTGTTACTCTATTAAAATTAGATGTTTCATTCACTACCTCCTGGTTACAAATTTTAGAATTTGATTTTAATTTAGGTGTGACTTCCGCATAGTGCTTTATACATTCCTTTAAGTTTCAGAACATTTGAACTTGTTTGTGGTAAAACTCATTAGAGTTTATCTTTTTATGGAAAGAAATTCCATGGTCAGAGATTTTTTAAAGAAAAGTAGTCCTTATTCACAGTAAGGAAAGCATAAAAGCTTCTTATGGTTGTTGAATATATGCCTCTGCTTTTGGGGATGCCTGATCTTAAAAGAGAGAGTATATGTACTAGTTTTTGAAAGTTAATAATGATTTTGGGGTCTTTGAGATTGTGAATTGTATTTGACCACATGAATCTTTCCCTGTACACAGTTAACCCACTTAGCCATGGGGAATAGAAAAAAAAAAAATTTGATTTATTATAAAATTTGGTTATTGATTCTAGAATTTTGTATTATATTATTTACATCACAAGTGTATTTTTGTTTTAATCACCATCTTTGTTAAGCATTTGTTTTTCTTTCAGTTTTAAACTGTGTCAGACTTTTGACTAGAATTTTACCATACATTTTTGAAGAACCAGACTGGAGAGGATTTTTTTGGTCAAGTCTTCCTGGAAAGTCAGGTGATGAAACAGATAGTGAGGTGAGATTATTGAAGTGAATTAAACATTTTCCTAGGTATTATTATATAAAATTTTTGTTATAATTTTAATATAACTGTCTGATAAGCAGAATTTTATGCACTTTTTTTAAGTTAGCAAAAATTTGCACATTTTGTAACCTACAAATAGGTTTATCCCTAATCAAAAAGAAAGTTTTTGTTGATAATGCTTATATAATGCATGTATCATATTCTTTAAAATAAAGATGCTGACTAAATTTTAATAAGTTTGCTTTGCATTAATTTCAAGTTAAATAATTCTGTATAGAAATTCTGTTAAAATTAAGGTGCTAGGATATTAGCTGGTATCCATCAATATGCCAGTAATGCATCCATCAATCAATATGAAGTATCCATCAATATGCTACAATAGCATTTTTTGGTAATAAGGTACATAATTTGACATCAGCAGATCAATTAAATAGTGTTCCTTCTTGCAGTAGTGTTTGACAACTGCATTCCGAATCACATTAAACAGATTGTTCTTTGCATATGTCTCTGCATCCATATAACCCTACTTAATAAGAAAGCCACTTAACCTTTTGAGGCTGGTAGCAGTAAAAGCCTTGAAAGGACGGGGAATCTTGAACCAAATGCTTTCTCCCCTTTAAGACATCACCTGCTATTTGTAACAAAGATTCTTGCGTATATTTTAATGGATTCTCAGAAGGGTGCATTCATGTCACAAAAGGAATGGAAGTGTAGGGATTAGTGACCAGACTTCAAGATGCTTTTTGTCACTGAGAGAAAATTTCATATTACAGTTGTTCCGGATTGAAAATACTGGGAAATGTGTAAACCTCCGTTGAAGAAAATGCCATTTTTTATATTATAGGACCTTAGTTTCGTTTTTATAAAATTTTGATTTGAATTTTAAATTACACTGCAAAACTATGTGTCTTTACTAAGTGCGTACAATAATTATTTCTATCATATCTTTATATTAATGTTATGTCAAAAAAATATTTCAACTATTTGATTATTTCCTTGGACAATTTTAAATTTAACCAGTCTTCATCTCAGTCTTTTTTTTTTTTTTTTTTTTACTCTTAAATCTCCTTAAAATTTTTAATTTGTTTTGTTATATATTATCAAATAAAATTATATCTTTGAACTTTTTTTCCATGCAGGGAATAATTAAAAAAAAAACGCTTAAAGCTATTGAAATGATTAAAAATTAAAGTTCAGTGGAACTGTTAAAATTATGCTCTATAGGCGTAATGAAATTTTAATATTACATAATTGTTCAAAATCGGCTTGATAACATACTATTTAAGGAGGAAACTTTCAGCAAATTAGAATATAACTGGTTTAATTAAAAAATAATTTTATTTTATTGTAGACTGTTAGTACTGCAGTGTCCAATTACATAAGTGCTACTAATTAAAATTCAGTTCTTTTCCAAAATTAATGCATAACAAAACAGATGCTCAAAAACTGTTTTTCAGAATATTTTAGTTTTAAAAATTTGAAGAAAAAAAAAAAAAAAAAGATTATTTAATCATGTACCATTTTATACTGTTTATTTAAAATTAGTAAGTGATATATTTCAAGTATTAACAATAAAATGAATTTAAGTCGTTTAAAATGTCAAATTATTTAGTATGCAAACCCATAATTCAAAACGTAAATTCCATTTGTGTTTTTTTTTTTTTTTTTTTTTTTTCCCCATTTGTGTAAAACTAAATTTCCAGCCTCGCTAAGGGAATGTGTTCACTCGGGTATCAAAGTTTAGGTAATTTCTTAGTGCAAAGAGTTTTTCAAATTGAAGGGAAAATTTTTTGTTATGCATAGTGTCTGCAAAAACTGTGGGACAAAAGTTACATGATAATTAGTTGTTGTCTTCAATACTGTATTATGTTATTCTGTATTATGCTACATAATTTAGCAGATTAAGAGAAATTTCCAGATAATTTCAGGTGCTCGGTCAGCAAAATTCTCTCCTGTTTGAAATCCCATGTGAATTTTTCTATTTCCTCTATTGTTTAAACCAGTTCGTTTCAACTCCACACTGTCTTTGTAGCAGTTTTGATATCAACCATGGTGGCATATTTTATATGGTGGAATTTAAATTCTTTGCTATATTAACAAGTATCTTTACTTGTAATTACTCAAAAAATTTTCATTGTCAGGTCATGCGAAATCTATACTGACATAGTTGAATTAACTGTTTTTCTCCTTTTTATTGAAAATTTTGCAGTTATTCATTAGTTTCATTTACACCTCGGTCATTATGCTGTCGTATCGAAACTATTTTGTAACTGAGTGCCCAAGGTATGCCCCCCAGGAATTTGTCCTTGAACGTAGTTGCTGAGATATATGTCTAATGAATGACAAAGGCATTCAATCACTTAAAAGCTCAAGGTTCAGAAATTCAGTTGGGGGAACATGTTGTCTTAGAACAATGATTTGTACATTATTTGAGAGCTTTTACATCCTGTTTGTATTCTTGGAGCTCAACGGACAGTGAAATTTCACAAATGCTACTCTAATTTATTCTGAACATCTTACTTCAAAATTATTTGACCGTGAAATTGAGACACTGATATGGAGGTACCTTTTAAAATAACAGTACATCAGTACATCAGGAATCTAATGGCTAGAGATGACCTTTAAAACTGATTGACTACTTTTAGTGTATTTACGATTTCCAGGTTTCAGGCTGAAATTGTAAAACTACTGTTGTTTCTTTGACGCAAAATTTATATTTATGTTCTTGTGATATGTCTGAATAACAGTACCATGACAGTAAACTTCCGTGTGTGAAGGTCACTTCTGCATAAACAGATATATATGGAAATAAAGATAGACAGAACTGTTAAGAATGAACTGATAAGAATGTAAGAAAAAAGTGCTTGTACATGTATACAAGTACATGGGAATTTATATTTGTTTATGGAAATTGTATACCTACAATATCCATGTAGTATGTATGTCTGCATTGATATAATAATATAATATGGTGTATGTGCAGATATGCACATAAAGCGGAAAGCATGCGTACCCTTAAATGAGAATAACGTACACTCACGTTTGTGAAAATTGCAACACCATGAAGGACTTACGCGAGTGAGCTGAAATTTTCAGAAAATGCAAAGTAGCGCATGATATGCAAATGATTAGAATTGCAAATCTGTAGCGCATGTGTATGCTGAGCAGCGCCCTCTGGACGGCTGATGGATCCGAATAAATAGACGGCTGTAGCGAGGCGTGTATGGTTATCGGTGGTTATCTGCTAGTGGTAAACGTTAACTCAATCTGTACTTATGCCTCGTCGACGAAAGAGAGCGAGATTTGAACAACTTGATGCTAAAGCAAAGTTTAAAGTTTAAAGAAATTAAATATTTAGCAGTGGTAGCAATGATAGCTCTCTGAGTTATGTTGTGCAGACATTGAAGACAAGTAAAAGATTTTGAACTTAACCAATTTATTAACAATATAATAAAAAATAAAAACACATAAAATAAATTTCAACAATATTAGAGTATTAGGCAAAACATAACATAAGCATCATTCATCAAATATTTTTACCTGTACTCCAAAACACTGGCATTCTATACAAACAAATTTCATAAAAAAAAATGAAAAAGTCCTAAATAGTGACTATGCCGCCTAAAAATAAAGCAGGCTACCCATTCCATAAGTCCATAATCAATGGTCAAGAAAACACCTGAAAAATTTAAATGTGAAACCACTTAAAACCGGCCTAACGCCGTTTGCACTTAATTCCACCCTCCTTGAAGAAACATGGACGCTGCCTACGGCAGTCACTCACAGGACAGCCCCCGGAACTGAAGAACTTCAATCTGGAACCATCATCTTGTGAACCGGAATCAAGGCATCCTTTCACCGGACTGCAGGCATCCTTTGGAAGGGGCTGGAAACCGCTCACACACCAGCCGGTAAACCAGGAACTAGAAGGGTTGAGCCAGAGCGACGCGAGATACTTATAGCAGAAGTAGGAATGACGTCATCTCACGGCAACCAATCAGCTATCGGCACGAATCGGCTTTTCAGATGACGTAACATCATGTTTCGTTTTTGCATCTCAATTAGGTTGAAACAGTCCGTTTTCAATGCAAACAGTGGCAGCAAGAAAAAGAAGTAGAAGTAACTACTATATTATATTAAAATAAGGACTAAACTAAATAAACATTTCAAGGAGGAGAGATGATGCAGTAAAAGGTTTAAAAATAAGCTATATTTTTCCAACAAATGCCCCCCACATCATCATCTCCGACCTGAAATAAAAACCGAATGCCAGTATCTTTACAAAATTCAAAACAAGAATAAATAAATATCACAATTTCATTCAGAAATTTTTAAGAAAATTTTTCCTTTGGGAAATCTTATCCCATTATTCAAAAATTTTACCATAGCAAGAAAGTCCAACATGTTACAAAACAATACAAAGACATATATATGATCATACACTCAATACATTTACCCAGGGCCCTGGTCACTCATACAACATTCTACACTATACAATTTTACATTTACCTAATATCCATCACATATGACTTATAACATATTTCAAATTAACAAAACTCTTAATTTAAATACACACAAAACAAATTTCATAAGAAAATTGTTCCACAAAATCTTATCAGGTTATGTTTAGTCAGCGGTTTTGTCATAGGATCAGCCAGATTATCTTTACTTGGGACGTATTTTAAATCAAAAATTTCCCTGTTCAATAGATCACGAATGAAAAATAGTTTCACATCTATATGTTTTGTCCTTGAGTTTTCAATGGGTGATTTTGTAAAACATATAGCAGCCATGTTATCAGCAAACAATATTGGTTTTGAAACATAGTTACTTGCAATTTTAAACTGAATGCATTCATCCAAAATGTTTTTAAACCAAACTAATTCTTTTGCTGATTCAGTCATGGAGATAAATTCAGCCTCCATAGTAGATAAAACTCACTCCCCTTTCTTTAAATGTACGCCAAGATACAGGTGATTCTCCCAACAAAGCTATTTGTCCACCAATAG